TACTCCATCAGTTTTAACTGTCAGTCCTCCTTGGTTGGAACTGCTTCTTCTTTCCATATATGAATGTAAATCATCCTGGCAGCCATCACTGAATACATAAATTGGTTTTTTTCCCTGGTCTTTGGGTATGTATTGACCTATTAACCCTAAAAGAAAAGCTTCTGGTATTGTGGTAAAAGATACCTTCAACATTTTTTTTCCAGTTCATTATAAATCATTTTCCAGAAAGCTTTATAGTGCTTTAAACACTTTCTTTCCCTCAAAGAATTCTGGGCATTGTTATTTGTTAAAAGTTGCCAGTAACTCTGTGAGGGGAAAACTACAATACCCAGAATTCTTTGAGGGGAAACTGTGTTTTCAATGTGCTTTGAAGGTATAGTGTGTACACAGCCTTGGTCTGGTGCAGAAAGAAATTGGAATCACATACACATCTCTGGGGAAAGTGTTCTAAAGATGAAGAACCACTGCAGTAAAGACCCTCCTTTCTATTTGAAGGGTTGTCCATAGTCCAAGCCTTGTTTAAAGGCAAAGAACCGTAAGAACAGAGAACAGCCACAGTCATGGTTTTTTTTGTTTTCCTTTGATTGATATGTACATTCTATTGATTTTTTTGCAGTTGTAGTCTCAAAAATTCACAAAATGTTTAAAAAAGAATATGAAGTTGCCCATCAACAGTTAGCAGCTGGACAGCAGATTAAGCTGGCATACAGGTCACCCAGACATATTTTCCTTGCCCCATGGGGAATAAAAAGCAATTTTTATTCAGATTGTTGTGCTTGCTTCCGAATCTGCATCACTACATATAAATTAGCAAAACCATTTCCCTCTTTTTAGATTATGTGAAAGTGTCCACTCTCATCTTGGCGCAGTGTTGTCAATTAAATAGTTGCATTTTGTTATACGGCTTTAAAAACAATTAAAATTATTTACAAAAAGTAATAATAATGGAGGGGAGGCAATGTTCTGGACTGCTTTATTTTGTCTCCCTTTAACAGGCACCTGAATTGCAAAAATCAGCAGGTGAAGCTTTTCATAGCTTCGAGAGAAGTGTTATTATCAGGAAACGTTTGCAGATCAAGCTGAACCACTTTTTTTGGGCAGCACAATATAACAAGTTAGTGTACTTAGCAAGGAGGGTCTTGAAAAAGCAATCTCTTGCACCTAGGCTGCAATTTGAACCAAGTGCCATAGTTACTAAGCCAAGAAATACCAAATCCATTAATAGGATAAGTACATGTTTCTGTGTTGTTATTATACCCGTTAATATAAGGAAACATAACACTAGGCCTATTATTCAGATTGGCTTTATTAACAAATTGAATACCACCATAAATCTTTTTGAGATTAGTTCATAAAATGTTGGTTACCATGATGCAAAGTAGGGCCAACTGATATAAGTGCAGCTGGTGGGTGTAGAGGAATAAGGGCAATAATTTGCCCTGAAATCTGTGGGTGAGATCCGCCATAGAAATAGAATATCCCACTGATGACTCTCATCCCCTCGTCCTCTGTCTGTAAAAAAAACACAAGGCAGTTGAACCTTTCGATCTTCATGGGTTCTTAGCCAATCTCATTAACTTCCAAAAACCAGTTAAGAACAACTTTCTAAAGAACAGTTAAAAATTCCTACAATCGCTACTCTCAAACCACCAGTTTCCGGGTTTCCGGGGACAGAACCCTCAGCTATCAAACACCTGGGTAAACAGGTCAAAACTAAACACATCTCTCCAAACCTGATGAATGACCATTACAATGGCAGATTCTATTCCAAGGTAAGTCTAATGATAAAGAACCTTAATAAGCAGGGAGGGCCTTCAAAGCCAGGTATGAATTTAGGGGAGTGTGCCCAGTTCACCTGCACTGGGCACCGCCCAGAGAGGGTGCTGCAACAGTGATGGAAGATGAGAGGCGGGGGGGGGGATTTTGGTGGTGCTCAGGGTGCCACTGAAATAAAAAAACCCAAAGTCTGCCACTGCTGAAGCTGCCCATTGACAGTGAGCATCTGGACAGAACACTGAACAGGCACTTGGGATACTTGGTCACTCCCCCCGCTATTGTGAAATGTACTGGCGTCCCCCACTTACGCAAGATCGATTCGCATTTGACCATATATACATGTGGCACCAGGAAAATAAATAAATAGATAAATTCAAACCAGGAAATGGTGGGAGAGAACTCGTGGCTTATGAAGAGACCCCCCTGCCCCCTGGAGCTTGAAGAGGACTTTAGTAAGGGCCGAGGAAGTCCCAAAGAGATTGGAGGCACAGCCGGGCATTGTTTAGGCTGCTCAGCCTCCCCGCCTAACAGCTGATGTGTGGGGTAGCACAGCAGCAATCGCTTTCCTGTGCAGCCTCCAGCCAGCCACACAGCTTCAACTCTAGTTGATGAGAGAGTTGTGAGGAGGGGGGGGGACAACAGGTGTTTAGGGACTTTTAAGCAGGTGCTCCCCACTTACATGATTTTCACTTATGTGCACAGTGGCCCCATGTAAGTGAGGGACACACCCCTGTGCTCTATTTCTATTTCTATTATAGTAAAAAGGTAAAGGTAAAGGGACCCCTGACCATTAGGTCCAGTCGCGAACAACTCTGGGGTTGCGGTGCTCATTTCACTTTATTGGCCGAGGGAGCCAGCGTACAGCTTCCGGGTCATGTGGCCAGCAGGACTAAGCCACTTCTAGCGAACCAGAAGAGTGCACAGAAACGTCTTTTACCTTCCCACCGGAGCGGTACCTATTTATCTACTTGCACTTTGGCGTGCTTTCGAACTGCTAGGTTGGCAGGAGCAGGGACCAAGCAACAGGAGCTCACCCTGTCACGGGGATTCGAATCGCCGACCTTCTGATTGGCAAGTCCTAGGCTCTGCGGTTTAACCCACAGTGCCACCCGCGTCCCTTTTCTATTATAGTAATTCTTTCTAATTCTATGAACATATATGTGTGCATTTTGTGCAAATTTGTGTTCTCGTCTCTCCTCTTTTATATGTGTGTGTGTGGTGTGTGAAGCAGCCATGCTACTCAATCTGTTGGGAACAAACCCAGAAGAGGAAGATCATGACACTCAAGTGTAAAAGAAAAGCAGGAAGGCCAGTAAAATTATTCTCTCTCTCCTCCACACAACCGGAGTTGTAGGCTGTTAGCAGCCTCACTGGGGAACATTGTGGCCCATACATTATTAAATGTAATTACATTGTTACTTATAGATTCGATTAAACGACTTGTGTGTGGGGGAATTCTATAGCAATTCAGAGCACAGCACGTGCAACAATTACATTAACCTTTAATAATCATCCTTTCCCCACCACTCTGTGGTAACAACCGTATTAATTAGTTATGAAATGATTAAATGTGGAGTGCCTGAACATTGTCATCAATCTCGCCACATGGGTACCTTTGAAGGGGTGCCTGGCACTGTGCCACACCCTGAAAAAGCCATCCGGGAAGGTTCCCTCTCCTCCCCTCCCCTCCCAGCAGCTGTGCTGCAGGACCTCTGAAGCTAGGAGGATAAATGAACTTAGGCGCTTGGAAGCCGAATGGGCAAAACCAAGCACAGCTAGCTCTTTACTGCCTTTTGGGACTCTAGTAGAGTCCTGCAAATCCCTGTGGCCGACAGTCTGCTGCTTACTTGACTTGCTGAGATCAAACTTCCTTTTTCCTAACTGGTACGATACAATATCTCAATCATTCTTATTTTACATTGTTTTATAGAGTTCTTTGTATGTATTGTTTGCTTATCTCTATCTATCATCTATCTATCTATCATCTTTTTTTTAAAATGATATTTATTAAAATTTCAGAAAAAAGAGTGACATAAAAAACAAGAAAAGCAAAAGCAAAAGGCAGAAATAAAAATACAAGAAAAATACAAAATACCGAATAAAAGAATAAAAAACACTTTAAAAAAATAGATCAATCTTTCCATGCCTTACATTCGTATCCTTGTTTCCCTGACCTCCTCATAGCTCCCTCTTTTGTATTCCAGTTCAATTTGTTAATCCAACAATTCATTTCCCTCCTTTTTAATCCTAATCCTCAATCTTGATATATTGTAACATTAGATTTTTACAAATTAAAAACCAATTTTTCCATATTCTTTTGTACCTATACAGCTAGAAACCACTTAACTTCTATCCAACATCATTCTAACATTCATTTATTTTGCAATATTTCTGTAAGTAGTCTTTAAATTTCTTCCAATCTTCTTCCACCGACTCTTCTCCCTGGTCACGGATTCTGCCAGTCATTTCTGCCAATTCCATATAGTCCATTAGTTTCATCTGCCATTCCTCCAGTGTGGGTAAATCTTGTGTCTTCCAATGTTAAGCGATGAGTATTCTTGCTGCTGTTGTAGCATACATAAAGAAAGTTCTATCCTTTTTTAACACCGATTGGCCGACTATGCCCAGGAGAAAGGCCTCTGGTTTCTTCAGGAAGGTATATTTAAATACCTTTTTTAGTTCATTATATATCATCTCCCAGAAAGCCTTGATCTTTGGGCACATCCACCAAAGGTGAAAAAATGTACCTTCAGTTTCTTTACATTTCCAACATTTATTATCTGGCGCATGATAGATTTTTGCAAGCTTGACTGGGGTTATGTACCACCTGTATATCATTTTCATAATATTTTCTCTTAAGGCATGACATGCCGTAAATTTCATACCTGTGGTCCACAACTGTTCCCAGTCAGCAAACATAATATTGTGTCCAACATCTCATCTATCTATCTATCATCTATGCATGCTGATCTGAGCGGCTTCAACCAAAAGAGTGCCAGACTAATGCTCTAGCTAACTAAAATAAGGAAACAATTCTTCTTGGCCTAGTGCTGACCAATCATTTCGCAGGGATTCTGGGGTTGTGGTGGACAGCTAGATGAAAAAAAATCAATCCAGTGGGCAGCTGCTGTGCTGGGGTGCTGAAAAGGTGAATTCAGTTTTGGGGATCATTAGGAAATGGATTGAAAATAAATCTGCCAGTATTACAATACCTTTATATAAACTTATGGTGAGATCACACTAGGTATCCTGTGAAGGTCTCTGCATCTCAAAAGCTGGAAAAGGTGCAGGAAAGGACAATCACTAGGCTGGAGCAATTCCTCCATGAAGAACAGTTACAACAATGGGGGCTTTTAACTTGAAGAAAAAATTAGAAAGGTGGACATAATGAAATGGTGTATGCTGTGGCTGTCTTAATAATACCTAGCATTTGCATGACACTTTCAAATGTTGCAAACATGTCACATACAATATCTAATTGTAATCCTTACCACAAACTTGCAAGCTGTAATCAGTACTATTATTCTATCCCATACTGCAGATGCGGGGGGCTAAGGCTGAGGCCAAATGACTTTAAACAAAACAAAACAATTTATATTGAAATTTTCTCTGACAAATAAGAAATGCATAACAAACAAAATAGACATAACAAAACTCGACTGTGAACTAAAGAGGAAAAAGAGAAAAATATAGAAGCAGAAATCTGGAAGACTGAAAGAGGTAACTTATACATTTTTAATCTAAAGGCTGAAAGTGTTTAGGTATAATGCCCACAGCTTTTTCCCCAGCTGGAATTCACTGGAACTCAGTTCCAGCAAGTCTCAGGTGTGTGCCATTGCCATGATAACAGAACAATGGAGGCATTTATGATGAGTTCCAGCACCTCTTCTTCTAGCAATACCTGTCCATAATGGGTGATGGAGATCTGGGGGGAGGACTGTTACCTGCCGTTTCAAAACAAATTCAACAAATGGAAGCCAAGCAACTCAGAATGGTGTGAATTCTTGAAAGAGGCAAGATCTGAACTTCCTGATTTGTAGCTCTGTCTCTTAGTTGCTACACGACACCAGCTTTCTTTTTGTTAACCAAAATGGAAGAACAGACTGTTTTATTTTCAGGGAAGTGGCTCACAATTCATTTATTTGCTTTTTTAAAAAACAAACAAACCCAAAAACCCCTGCAGCCTTGTTTTCTTGAGGATTAACAAAGAGAAGCAAAGAGCAATGCTAGCTGTAATGAACTTCCAGCAGCCAGGCTCCAAGCTGAACCAATGGCTTCATGTGTCTTTAATGCAGAACTTAATCAAAGCACCAAATATCTGGTTGTGGAACAGAGTCATATCACTATTTATTCCCAGAAGTAAACTGTACACAAAGCAAGAGCTCCATCCACACCAACATAAATCGCCCTCTTCAACCTCTTGTATTGCCATCCCATAAAGCTGCAATTGTTGTTGCAGAACTGCGGGAATGCAGCCAAGCGAGAGGCATTACTTTATACGCTAGCTTGATGTTGTTAACAGGGATATTGTAAATGCACAATGTCATATGTTTTCTTTCCCTTTTTTGTATATTTTATGTATTTTAATCTTTGCTTATAATGGACTTTTCAGCCTGGGTTATACATAACGAGCTTGCTCAGTGGAGGAGAGGATAAAACTACAGTGACAGCTCCGTGTTGAGGCAAAAAACAAAAGCAGGCTACATTGTCTTTCCATCTAACTGACTGAGGCATGGTGCTGCATCCAAATGAGGGAAAAGGGCAACATGACAGAGAATTGTTTAGCTGTGCCATAGTTTCTTCGGGACATCAGTGCCAACTCAAACTGTGCACCTCATTTCCATCCTAGCAACACAATCCTTCGTTACATATGTTATCAGGTTGTTCTGATCACTGTGTCAGATGACATGTCAGTATTGTGGGAGGGAAAATATGTAAATCCCCATGACCCACATGTGTGGGGTAAATAACAAAAGAATTGGCTGGGTGCCTGGATTCAAAATGCGGAGCTAAACACACTCTCTAGCGGGAGAAAGCCCAAGTAGCAGAGTTTAAACACACAAAAGTCAAGCAGCAATATAGCATTAGGAATATAGCTTGTTAGACCCTTGTATCCCAATTAGTTTGCTTGCAAACAGTGCTCCTCTCTCTTTTACACCTTTTGCGATGAGCAGACCACACACTGTTAAGTAAGTTTAAAATGCCTTACTTACAAAATGCTCCAAAGGTCAGATTAGTGCATTTATCCAAGCAGCAGCAAGGAGAACATAGGCAGAATACTCTTGGGTATAAAATAAAGAAAGATAGCTTCAAAGACGTGCTCTAAGCTTGCAGCTTCCTTAGACTCCTCTTCCTTGGAGAGGAGAGAGAATTAGGGTACAGGAAGAAGAAAGTTTCACTTCCTTCCTCAACAGAGAAGAAAGGACATGACCTATGTTGAGTCTAGGGACACAGCTCTATTGTCCTAACCCATTCATGTACTACCTAGCTGTATTTGAATGCAATCTCCCACAAGTATCTAGGTGCTGGCTCTTCAATATGCAACCCACAAACTGCATTTGAGTTGCTTCTTGGGGAAAGGCCATAGCTCTGTGGTAGAGCATCTGCTTTGCACACAGAAAGTCATATATTCAATCCCTGGCATCTCTAGATGGGGCTGGGAATGAACTCTGTTTGAAATCCTGGAGACCTACTGCCAGTCAGTGTAGATAATGCTCAGTTTGATTGACCACTGGAATAAAGCAGCTTCCTACATAGATACTGACTGGCCCCATGATGCCTTGTGTGTGTCAAACAAGTACATTCTGCTGCAGTAAATTCTGCAGCAGGGTTGATACACATATAAACGCAAAGAGTAGTGACCCCAACTGACATTTACAATGACAGATTGTTTGGATTCTAATAAAGCAGATCCGTGTGTGTTGCCTTATTTATAATTATTTGAGCATAACATCAAGAAACATTAGCAACAAATGAAACAGAACATTCAGCCTCAAATGGTCTGACTCAGTTTAAAGCAGGGGTGGGGATCAGCGTCATGGACCAAATTTGACTGGAAGGTGGATCTAGCCACCTGTTGAACACATGATATCATATGACTGATAGGTGGGTTGTCCCACCCACCTGTCAACATGTCTTTTGGCATTTCCAAGCACTTGCTTTGAGAAGGCTGCATTTTATTGTGTGCCTCCTTTAGCGGTGGTAGCAGTCATGGGGGTGGCGGCAAGGTAACAAATGGGAGACTTCCTCCTCTTCTTCCTGCCCCCCACAATTCCCTTCCATCGCCAACATTGGGGATGGAAAGGAGAAACACAGGGAGGCTTTGAAAGCCCTTTACTATCCTGCCCATTTCTCCTGTGCAGCCCCTCTGTTTGAGAGTCACAAAGGGCTTTCAAAGCCTCACCACACAGTTCCCATCTGCATGTTGCAGCGTTCAGCATGTTAGACTAGGAGGACCAGGGAGATGGGTTCAGATGCTCACTGGGCTTACTTGAGTCAGTCCTACCTCACCCCACCCTATGACACAGGATTGTTGTAAGAACAAAATAGGGGAATTGGGGGAATCCTGTGCATCACCCGGAGTTTCTTGACTTACAAAACTATATCTGATAATACAGGGGGGATTTTTATTGGAACCATTAGGGAGATTACCCTTCAGTCACTCCCTTCAATGTTGGTTAGGGGATTAAACTCATCTGTAATGGTCTAAAATAATTTTACCCATTGTCATTCTCCCTGCAGCTATGCCATGGTGAGGAAGGAATGGGGAAGGGGGAACAAAGAGCCACAGTAGATGCTGCAAATTTCCAAGCGAGGGAGCAGAGCTCTGATCCCAAAATGCCCGCGTGACAACTAATTAACCTTTTCTGCATTTGACAGGAGGCTTCAACAGAAATGGAAGATGTGGGGCTTGATGTTATTCCCTCAACTTGTATAAATAATTCATAACCTCTAGCCCTGCAGTCAGTTGAACATCTCAGCTAATCACCCAGGCTTATGTGGACATTGCCTAGAAAAAAAAGCCCACCCCCAAACCCCACATTTAACAAAGAATTAAATGGAACAGATTTTCCTATGGAAAGAATATCTACAGGCAGCAGGTAGCCACGTTGAGTAATTAATATGACCTTTGCCTCTTGTTGAATCTATCAGTGGGGTTGTAAGTATCCCACGTGGCCTACAGGATGGGAGGGTCTCCATCACAGGAGCTCATTGTTATTCTCCTGTATTCTATCAGCAGAGCACAAAATCCCTCTGCAGGACAGGTCAGGCTGAAAGGTTCCTGAATTTAAAGGCTTATGAGAGGTAGCAAGGAGGAAAAAAAAAAGCTTATAATAATTCACTCCATAGGAGTTTGGTATTGGGACTTATTGCCATGCTGATCCCTGAGAATGAGAGATCGTTAATGTCTTTTATGGGAGCAACTTCTTTGGACGGAGGCGTGTGCCACATTTTGATTTACCCATAGCTCTGTTTAATGTTACCCATCAGGGCAGATGCAGTGCTTAACTGTTTTGAACTCCAGCCACTCAGCAGATAAGAGTCCCCACTGAAAATCATTTTTCTGCCCAATTACTGTCATCCAACACATTGCTACTCTGCTTCATTCATGTCATGCGCCTGTAAGACAGTGTGGTAATCGAGAACTTCCAGTGCTAAAAGAAACTGATAGTGGGTTGCTCCAAAAAAAGGAGATCAACTTACCTGCACAGCCTTTAGCTATGCGGCCTTGGCTGCAGATGTACCTTCTGTGAATCATGTTCAGTGGATCCACGTTGCTGACGTAATTAGCAACTTTATTAGTTAGTAATTGCTAGGTCATTGGTCACTAAAGTTTTATTTTCCTATGTTTTATTGGCATTATCTACTTCCATGGTCACCCTTTTTTGCTCAACATGGTCTTGAAAGCAGCTTATGTTTAGGGCCAGCCCTATCATTAGGTTGAGTCAAGCAGCTGCTTTAGGTGGCAGATGCTGGGGCATGATACTGCAAAGGATGCTGGATGGCATGAACTGGTTGGATGAAGGGGAGAGGTGAGAGGCACCATCTGGGGAACCCCCAAGGGAAACCCCAGAGGAGGAAGACTCAGAGCCAGGGGATTGGTGGTGGGACACTGAGGAGAGGTCAGATGGAGAAAGCTGGGAGGAGGGGCTGAATGCTGAAGGGCAACAGGGTTTAATGAGCAGGAAGAACCTGTGACAGGGAGCAGTTCAGACTCCAAGGTTGAAGGCTGCAGAATCCAGGGAGTCTCCTTCTCCTGCTGCGACGAGCTCCCCACACCCCCAGTCTCCAAGAATTTGCAGAGTAATGATAAAAGCAGAGCAGAAGTCAGAAGTGTGAAGGTGCAGTTTGAGACTGTTTGGGAAACATCAGAGAGAGGAGGGGTCTTAGAGAGGTATGGAAAGCAGGGACCTTCAGTCCTGGCAACTGCTCCATATAGGGGCAAGACCTACTGGGAAGGGTTGCTGAGACCACTAGGCTGAGTTGTATGTTTGTTTCATTGAACAAAGAGTTAACGTCTCTGTCAGTGGAGATCTGCTTGCTTTATTGCTGACCTGTATCTGACTCCAGCTTTGACACTGGGGACTGCACATGGGAGAAGTATGGTAGCCTTAGCCGAGGCCATTTAGGGCAGGTATTCCTTAGTCTTTGGCTAGAAATGTGGAGGCATGTGGGTATGGAAACATGTGAAGCAAGGAGACATTGCATACCTGGGGAAGAAATGAAAAGAAACATGCAAGAAGCACGTTCCCCCACAAAAAGGAGAAAAATAATTTACAGTGACATTTAAAATGATATTGTTACTGCTGCCCTTCAATCTTTCTTAACACTTTGTAATATTAACTCATAAGATTTAAATGCAGGCTCTGAAAATTGACAGTATCAAGGGAAAATTGCAGAAATCCAATGAAAATGGAGACAAGCGAGGGAGAGGGAGAGAGAAAAGAGAAAGAAAGACCCAGCTGAGCTGAGTATTTTACTGTATTATCAAGGCACTCAATTGCTCACATTAACCCAATCTATTGGATTTATTTTATTTTATTTTTTACATATTACTGAGTTTAGAGCAATATGTGATAAATATTCCAATTTCTCATGGTGGCAAAAAAGGAGAGATAAGTGCAGGAATGTAAGCAAATTTGATTAGAAGCAGAAATGGGAGTAGAAATTGCCACAATTTGCATGTTTGTCTGAGGTCAGGAATGGAAATCACGGAAGTGAATACGAGCAGTTTTAGCTATCAGTGGTTTGCTTGTTTTTAAGTCTACGAACATGAGACAATTACAATATTTTCTGCATGGTCTTTAACATTTCCCTCCCATTGAGGTATATTGGAATTAATAGCACAATTAATTACATAATTAATTACGTTAGTTTCAGCCAGAGCAGAAAGTGAGATGAATAAAGTAAGTTTTAGTGGAATCCAAACCTTAGAGGAACCTAAACAGCACTGATTGTGAGAAACAGAGGTTGGGAGGGAAATTGTTGCTTCCTTACATCCCTAGAAAGGTATTAGAATTGGTGTTTGATTACTGAAAAGTTATCAAAACAATCTTATACCCAAGTTCCACAAATGCACTGTGATTCAAGGTTGTCACAGCATCCTGTCCTATTTCCTATCAGAAAAGAAGAAGAGCAAAGCAGACTGCTCTGAGAACCACAAAATGGATCAAAAACAATGGCTACATCTACAACATTCATGCTAAGACTGTCGGTATTCAGTAATCATCTGCCGGTGAGATGTTGCTGCAAAGATGTCATTAAAGATTTTATTTATTTTTTTAAAAATATTCCTTCTCTAGGCAAAGCCCATTCAAAGCAGCTTGCATTAAGAAAACCTACAATTTTTAAAAAAATAAAACAACAACAAAAACAACCCTCACTACTACAAATCACCAACAGAAGCATACCTAAGGATTGGTTAGGATGGCCCCCACTGCAGATCTGCTGAGAGGCAGTTCCAAAGCCGTGAGGCCACTTGCTTTACAGACCTGGGTGTGTGGGGGCATACCAAGAGGGAGACAACATGACAGTGATATGGACATGTTACAGAGATAATATAATTCCTCCGTGTCAGCCTGTTATGAGAAGAGCCAATCTGCCCATGAAGATATCCCTACTATGTCAGCTAACCCCACCCACACTCCAGGCACAATGATACCAACAGCACCCTACACTAGCACCCGAGTTCCCCAGGCATCCCTGCATACAGGAGTTCCAATCCCCTCAACACACAAAGGGAAGGGAGGAAAAGGAGTATAACACATGGCCTACAGAGCTCACTTCAAGGTAGCCTCATAGAGAGGACCAGTTCTGCTCTAGGCAAGGGCTCAAGAATTCACAACGAGGGAGACAAAACCATTCGCTAGGCAGGAAATGGACGAACCAGGACAGGCAATAAGGGAGCTCACAGCTGTGTTTCCAAAGGAGCCACGTCCATTAGCTTGCTGCAGAAGGCATGGGTTTTGGAAGCAGGTGGAGTGAGCTCACAACCCACCAGGGGAATGGGAGCAACAAAGGCTTACTCGTCTTTTAAACACCTGGCAAGTGACAGTTCTGTCAGAAGCAAGATCCAAGATCCAAGGACTCAAAGTTGCACTGCCAGCTCCACAGACAAGATCCCTATCCTCTCTGCCATAGCAGAATTGCTGACGCTCCACAGTAGAACATCTGCTTTGCATGCAGAATGTCCCAGGTTCAATCCCTGGTGTCTCCAGGTGGGTCTGGGAGGGAACTCTGTCTGAAACCCTGGACAGCATTGGCAGTCTGTGTAGGCAATATGGAGTTTGATGGACCCAATGATCTAACTCAGTATAAGACTTCCTATTTTTCCTAATTCAAGTCAAGTAACCTTTATTGGCATCACATAGGAACATTCAGAATACATTCAGAATACATTCAGAATAAATACGCCAGTGTGATCTTGTTGCCACTTCAACACCACAGTCGTTTGCCAAAGGAAAGAAGAGGCGAGCAGTTCGTTTCATCTCTGTGGGTGTCCACAAGGGGGTTTCTGTGGGCTTCCAGCAAGGGCAGGATCCTGTATTGCTTTGAGCCCATCCACATATGCCAGGACAATACAGGTTGCAAAAGGGAAGGGGCTCTAGCACAGTGAAACAACACACTATTTACATCTTGGTGATCCCAGGTTGAAACAAAGGGCCTGGAGACTTCCGGGTTAGCGCCTCTGGCAATGGCGGATTTCCTCTGATCAGGAGGAATCCGCTCCATGAGAATTAGGGTCTGGACCGCCGAGGCGAGGCGGAGACCCATTAAAAACCACAGGCTGGAGAAGCCTGTGGACGTGGGATTCGGCTGGCACCTTTCGCGCCTCCCCTACTCGCGGGGAAACCCGGTTTCGGGGATCCGGAGCGACGTGGGGTGAGTGGCGCGGTGCTTCGAATCAGCTGCTCTTTTCACGGAGTGAAGCCGCATTGCTGTTGCCGGAGAGCGCTGACTTTTTCCTGTGGACAATTGGATTTTAAACAACTGCCCGTGAGTAGAACGGAAAATTGGACTATAAAATTTCTTAATTTGGTACCGAAGCGGGAAGGTCTAAACAGGAAGTCCGCCTTCCGCTTTTGTAAATAGATTGAAGCAAAGACATTGCAAGCTAGAGTCTGGAAAGTCATTTGTAAAGGATTAAATTTTCATCGTTTAAAACTACTGAACCTCCCTTGGAAGCAGGAGAAGAGGGGGGAATCTTTTTTAAACTGTTTAAACCTGCAGAAGAGAGAGTAAAGAAAGATAAATTTCCACCGTCTTGAACCTGGGAGCGGGGTGTCAAGACAGATGTTTTGGGGAAGTTCATTGACTGTGGACAAACGTTTTTGACAGATAGTTAAAAAAAAAAAAAGAGAAACATATTGATTCCATTGCTCCCTTTTGCATTTAAAAGGAACAAAATATCCGAAAAAGGAAAGAAACTTTGTTGCTAGATCTGCTTTTAAAAGGACGGATACAAATAGAAATACAAATATCTTTAATACGGTCAATGACCAGCAAGCAATTTATAAAATAAAATATGGCAATATAAGTACTATTGTACTACAGATAACAGTGGAGATATGGCCAAATCACAAAATTGGTACTTATGTTTATGACCAGGTTTCAATAACAGAGTTTCAATAACAGAGACTCATCTGCTGATTGACCAACTAAAGAACGGGAAAGCCCCCAGAATTGACTGTATACCAGCGGAACTTTTTAAAACCAACGCGATCTGGTGGGCCCCCCTGTTAGCCTCCCTGTTCACATATATAGATAGAACTGCACAGATTCCATACGACTGGGGGACTTCCATCATTATTCCCATTTACAGAAAAGGCCTGAGGGATGATCCCTCTAACTACAGACCTATAAGCCTCCTGAATAAAATAAGCAAATTATATGCTAAACACCTTTGTGAGAAACTGTGCGAATGGATAGAAAGAGCGAAGATTCTTGATGATGCACAGGCAGGATTTAGAAAGGGGAGATCCACAATGGATCACTGCTTGACCTTACAGCACCTAGCTGAGAAATACACGCTGCATCATAATCACCACCTATTCGCAGCATTTGTAGATTTTAAAGCAGCCTTCGACTCCATCTCAAGACCCCGACTCTGGGACAAACTCAACAAATCATCCATAGACCGACGTCTCCTGCTATTAATATCCAAACTGTACAACAACACACGACTTCGTATAAGATGTAGCCAAGAAGGTCAACTCTCTAATTCCATTAGAACAACAAAGGGAGTTAAACAAGGATGCATTTTGGCCCCCTTCTTGTTCAACATCTATATAAACTCCCTAACAGACCACCTACAAGGAGCGGATACACACGCCCCAAAATTAGCAGACAAAAAACTGCCTATCCTACTATATGCAGACGATGTGGTTATACTGTCCCAGACTCAGAAGGGCCTTAAGAGAGCTCTTAACAGCTTATCTCAATATTGTAGAGAAGAGAAACTAGTAGTGAACTACCAAAAAACAAAAATCATGGTTTTCTCCAATAAAAGAAAAATATATAGATGGAAATTAGACAATCAGGAGATTGAACAAGTGACATGCTTTAAATACCTAGGAGTTATATTCCAAGCATCAAGGAAGAAGACTGCCCACATAAATTACAGTTCCTCTACAGCACAAAAAGTACAACAGCAATTCTAAGATACCATCGTACAATGGGAGGAAATTTTATTCCTGCCACAATTAAACTATTCGCTGCAAAACCAACAGCACAAATACTATACGGCGCACCACTCGTCTCCCTCTCCAATCTAGACCCATACGAAAAGATACAATCAGGTTTCCTTAGATCACTCCTGCAAACACTTAAATGCGTCCCAAACGCCGCCCTACGACTGGAAGCGGGCTTATACAGCATCAAAACCAAAGTATGGATAAGAACCTTATGCACTTGGCAAAGACTTAACAACTCGCCGGTTGGACTACTTTCCCTGATGCTTCTTGACAAATTCCAATCTAGTTGGTTGAAGGGCACTCTCAGAAAATTGGCCACATATGGTCTCTCCCCAGAGTATTTATTAAGTTTAGAAAGGGGAAGGGCCAAGAATATAATCAAAGAAAGACTACATACTTATATAGAACCCACTCAGGAATTAATTCAGGAATGTGCTTTGACAGACCAGATAAAGGAGGAGGTTGTTGCTGAACCTCAAGTAGCAGAAATGGAGAGAGCTGCGGCCAGCAGGAACATAAGTTGTTGGATTTGACGAATGAACCTGGAAAAAGTCAGATTTGGAGAGATAGAGTTCTGTCTGGCTTGGAGATGGGGGGCTGGATGGATCCCCCTATGCAGGGATGTTTTGACCTTTCGAGTCTGGCTTTGGGCTGGGGGGAGTTGGGAATTGTGGGGGCCCTTAACTTTGGAGGGACTTTGAAACATGCCTTTAAATATCACATGGATTACAGTGTTGACTATGGCGAATGGGCTGACCTGTTGAGAAGGGACAAAGATATTGTCAAGTTGGAGTCTCCCCGAGAGAAAGGAAGGAAATTAAGAATAAGATCAGCAGAAGACAAAGTAAAGTACAGGTATAAACATGAAGAAGACCTGCGGAAGGGACATGAAAAAGACTTAAGAGCCTCGGATAGAAGGTCACCAGGTTGATGGACTAGATGGATGGGATAGAAAGGACTGACATAACCCGAGACCAGGAAGAAGAGACGATGGATGAAGATTGGAAGAAAGTTTTTAAAATTTATTTAGAAAATCATTGTAAAATTAATGAGTATTAGAAAAATGTTGGAATGAAATTATTTGGCTTTAGCAGAAATGTTAAAAAGAATTACGTAAGAATATGTTATGGATAAAAGAATTAGGTATAAATAAGACTTAAGTTTTAAGCTTTAGGGTTTTTTATGGTAAGATAAGGTTAAAATAGATTAAGGTAATTTAATGACAGAATATTGTGAAAGATGGAAAGGATTTGCTGAGATAATTAATAACTAGAATACAAAAAGGGAGGTGTGAGGAGGTCGATGAAATAAGTTAATGAAAGTTAAGGATTTGGGAATATTGGATTTGTTTTCAAATTTTCTGTTTATTTTTGCTTTTTGACTTTGATGTATTGTGTGTTTTGTTTTTTGTTTTTGACTTTGGTTTTTATTGATTTGTATTGTTTAAATGCTATTTTTGTCTATTTGTTTCTTTCTTCTTCTTTTTATCTTGTTTCTTCATTCTTTCTTCTCTGTAATTTTAAATTCTCAATAAATATCATTAAAAAAGAAAAAGAAACAAAGGGCCTGATCTCCTACTGGGAAGGACTGGGAGGGGTTCCCACACCATGAGAGGGAGCCTGGTGCCTGAGCCAATAACAAGCCAACAGCCATGCAAAGGAAAGGAAAGGAAAGGAAAGGAAAGGAAAGGAAAGGAAAGGAAAGGAAAGGAAGGCTGTGTATTTTGCAATCTCTAACTTATTTATCCAGGTAGCGCAGGCTGAAATATAAAGAGGATCAACAGATCAGCCGGAGTTCAAAGCTTTCCCTGAGGGGCAGTCAACAGGACTAGAATCTTAGACAACCCTCATGGTATAAGTGGTTTTAAAGGGCAGGGCCCTGCTTGCTGGCTGAGGGTCTTACAGTCTATTATTTATTTATACTGATAATTAATTCCCTTGCTGTGCAAACATTTATCAACGAATCCATTACCCCGGTCCTCTCTCTGTGTACTTGGTGGGGTTAGGCACACTGACAGCTTCGTAACCACAGTCTAATTAAGGTAATTGTTGGCCCACATTTCTTATTCTGTTTCATGTATAATTATACTCCATGGGAAATCTGGTGGGATTAGAAACAGACTTTTAATCTATTCCATGCAAATCAAAAACAACTCCCAAGAAAACAGTTTAATAGCAATATTTAACAGTGCACCAGTTACTTTACTCTGGAGACTTAGCAGGAGGCGTGTTACCCACAGACCCTTTCAGCCAAAGAGAGATGAGAAAAAAGGCTCCCTCAGAAGCAACCCCCTTGTCTTTTTATTTCCCTAAGTTAATTAACTCCATTTGTGAGGAACCTTTTCTCTTTGGGGTTTCTTGAGCGAAGTCTCCTGATGCTGCTGACAGCTGTTGCTCAACTAACACCTTGGCTGCTTCTGTAGATTCAGCCTTTGCTCAGCTTATTTGCTTGTGCCTTTTGTAAATACTGGCCAGAATCCATCTCATGTTTGCATCTAACCAGCCAATCAGCACAAGCAGACAAACATCTACCTGCCCACACCAGTGGTGTGCCATGAATTTTTTTTTGTAGGGGAACAGTTACGGCTGTATGTAGAGTTGGAGACCGCTAGGATCATCTGCCTGCAAGGCAGGGATCTCCACTCAAGCATCCCTGGCAGAAGCCTAAAAACTTTCAATGAAGGAGGGTCCACAGCCTCCCAAGGAGGTCCATTCTCTGGCTGGTCAATTTGCCATTTCCTAGCAGCTTGCAAAAAGAAGAAAAGTTTGGCTTTGCTTTGTTATTTGAAAAAGACAACCGCAGACGGAAGGGTGGATCCCCCCCCCAAAATATTAACACCCCCCATTCTTCATTATCTCCCTTTTTATGATCATGTTGTTGGTTGTTGCATGTTGCATGTTGCTGCCGATCCTTCAGGTTCTGGCAGATTGTGGCTGAGGGTTTATTTTATGAAAGCACCAGGCTTTCAACACACACACACACACAGAGAGAGAGAGAGAGAGGGGGAGAGAGAGAGGAGAGAGGCAGGCTGAAGGAGAGGAGGGAGGTAGTGATATATTAAGGTTGCAGGCATCTTGTTTTCCATCCCCACCCCATAGGCACTTCAGGCTTTCTGACTGCTCTTCCTTAAAAAATGAGGGAGAAGGGGCTGCAGTTTTGCTTCAAGCAGCTGCTTCCTGCTCATGCTTGTGTGTTGCTCTGCAGGGTCCTGTAGTTTTGCAGCCTTTACAGTGGTAATCAGAGAGAGAGAGAGAGAGAGAGAGAGAGAGAGAGAGAGAGAGAGAGACCCTGGCTAAGCAGCTACACAGAAATATCCTGCCAGGAACATTAAGGGGACTAGGCTAGTCTCACTAGTCCATGGACTGCATGCCGCTGACACACACACAGACTGACAAGGTCTGTTTCTGTGGAGAGCTATCAAGCACCCCACTTACAGTGTTGAGGAGTCCCAGTCATGTGACTCCATTTCCTTTGGAAGGAGATCACAGGAGCCTTGTGGCATTTTGAAACATTTGCATTTATTTTCAAATAGACATGCTGAGCATAAAGTAGGGAGCTGCAGTATTAACACTCCAACAGATCCTGCTCCCCAATTAAGTTTCTGAGGGATACCCAGACCCTCCAGATATCCCAAGAAATAGTACCACTTTGGCCCTTTGCACTCTCAGTCTACAAAGATACAGCTGGATGACCTTTGAGAAACAGGGGAAGATGGAAGAATAAGGACTTGTCCGCTTCCAGAAGGAATCTTCAGCAATTTCCTTTCCTATGTAAAGGCCAGCTATTCAGACACATCACTGCTAGTCCTCCTAACAAAAGGCTGTAATTGTCCATCCAGTTTGTCCAAGCAATCTCTTTTTACACTGTGTGGGGGGAGACCATTCAAACCAATCCCCCATCTCAGTGCAATACAATAAACCTACAACAAAATCATATAAGCAGCAGAAGGAAAGAAAGAAAAACCCAAGGAACATAGAGGCTGCCTTACTCCAACTGAGAACAAGGCTTAGTTTTGTCTACACTGAACGGCAGCAGCTGTCCATGATTTCAGACAAGGGTCCTTCCCAGCCCCACCTCAAGATGCAAGGGATTGAACAGGATATCTTCTGCATGCAAAGCAGATGCTCTTTCACTGAGCTACAACCATAGGTGACCTCAAGGTGCTTTCAGATGGTGAAGGGCCAAAACCTAGGAAAACCTAGGGAAACAGAAAATATCTTCTTTGCCCAGTGCTGAAAAGATATTAAAGAAGGTGCCATCATAAATTGATAATAATGCTGCCTCTGGACTTTTGGTCAGGTTTAACCCAGTGATTTCTGTCATCTCCTTAAACACCCTGGAAGGTTCACAGGCTATGAAGGACTTGCTCACAAATTGATTGACAGCTGCATGAATTATTACAGCTAGGAAGTGGAAGGGGCAAGCAGAATATAAAATGAAAGAATGGTATAAAGAGGTGTGGGATATAGCTATGAATGATAAATTAAAATGTGCCATTAAGGTAAGACGGGGAATATGCAGGAGAAATGCTTTTGAGGAGATAGGGAGGGTGTTTGTGGAATGTGTACTGATAAAATGGAAAGTGGTCAAACCATCACAAGATCTGTTGAAATTTTGGGAGGTTGGATAGTTACAATGGAATGGTTTTGGTGGTGGGGTGCACATCTTTTTATGATTATTACTTTGTCAAAATAAAATTAATAAATTTTGAGAGCGAGAGAGAGAGAGAGAAAAGAAGAAGAAGAAGAAGAAGAAGAAGAAGAAGAAGAAGAAGAAGGTGCCAGGGGAGCCTCCTTGAGCAGATAGTTGCAGAAATGTGATGTTCCTTCTGCTCAGTGGCCAGCGCCTAACATCTGATGGAGGGGGTAGCCTAGAGGAGGGCTTCCAATGATGATCTCTTTGTCAGAACAGTGAATTGAATCCCAGTCTCTTAGTTTCCTTGCTAGCCGTCTATGCACCTTTCATTGTGTGCTATTTTTAGGAAGTCAATACTGGTCTTGTTTTCATACTGTCCACCTGATTCCAGTTACAACTGTTCATTAGAAGAACCACCATAGTTAAATCTCAAATATTGATCTTGGACTTAGTGAACAGATGTTGAGCACATGAGGCTTCCCAGTAACATCTTTGAGAACAACACAGTGTATTGTTGTAAATGCTGTTAGAGCAACATTGTCTCCAATACAATGGGAAGGTCTGTGTTTATATACTCAGCATCCCAGCAAAAATATGAATGCCTAGAGAGCTTTTTAAAAAGTGTACAAATGGCTTTATAATCCTTAAAACATTCATCATCACAACAGCCCTGTGAAGAATAAGAGGGTTTTACAGGCAGGGAGGCACAGGTGAAAGATAGTAAGGCATTTGCTTGAGACTACCCAAGGAGCACAGGCCTAATTGCAGCTTAAATGGAAACAGGTCAGGCTTTGTGGGGAGATGCTGAGGGTCCCACACAGCAGAACAAGCAAGAAGGCTTCCAAACACAACAGGGCTAGTTGGCTACATTTTGAAGCAAATAAAGTAATGCACATTGCCACCTAAAGAGCATGGACCCAGTAAGACCATTTAGTCAGTGTGGGGGACACAGTAGCGCTGTGGTCTAAACCATCGAGCCTCTTGGGCTTGCCAATTGTGAGGTCGGCGGTTCGAATCCACACAATGGGGTAGGCTCCCATTGCTTTGTCCCAGCTCCTGCCAACCTAGCAGTTCAAAAGCATACCAATGCAAGTAAATAAATAGGTACCGCTGTGGTGGGAAGTTAAACAGCACTTCCATGCACTTCTGTCAAGGTGTCCTATTGCACCAGAAGCGGTTTAGTTGTACTGGCCACATGACCCAGAAAAGCTGTCTGCAGACATACGCCGGCTCCCTTGGCCTGAAAGTGGAGTTGAGCACTGTACCCCATAGTCGAATTTGACTGGACTTAACCATCCGATGGCCGTTTACCTTTACCTATTTAGTTAGTGAAATACATCACCATCTAAACAGGGAGACCCTCTAAGACAACTTGAAGTAAGTGAAATAGCACACATTACTATCTAAAGTGGGATTAAGACCATGCAGTCCAGAGTCTAAAATTACCTAACTGAACCGCTGTTTGAACTGAGACTGAAACAACTCACTCATTTACTTATCTGATGTGACTCACAGCTTTCCAGAGCACCACACTATCTGAGAGCAGCAATATGCTTCTTTGTTGCCTTTTGATTTAGAGTGGGTGGGTGGGTCGGATAAGAATGAAAGTTTCATATATTCTTAAATATGAGGTCCATTGGTAGGGAATAAGGTGGACACTGGGCCCACAAACCATTTCTTGCAGAATATCAGGGGAATCACCAGGTTTCTCCGGAGCTATTCCACACAATATTTGCTGTGCCACTGACTTGAGAGGCATTTTGTCCTGTTCTATGATTTCAGTCAGGCTGCCTGCCAGACTTATTATTAATTTGTATTGGCTGTTAAAGATGTAAGTTTAATATGCATTAAATGTTATGTCTGTATGTGTTGTGTTTGAAAATAGTTTGTGAAGTTTGCATTAGGCAGAGGGTTTGTCTCCAGCAAATGAGACAAGAAAAAGGTTGGAGGTTTCCATTTGAGGGTTTAGGCTAACTGATGACTCATCCCAGATCACTCTCATAGCAGGGAAATGAAACCTGAGAACTCAGTGTCTTAGTCAGTCCTTGAACTTCAGGGATGATGAACAAGCATAGGATCTTTCTCTGGCACCAGAGAGAGGAAGGTTTATTGAACTGTATTCAGGAGTAGAAAGAAGTCTAGACAGCATTGCTAGTTTAAGTGCAATGTGTATTTTTTTGCCAACATTTACTTTGTAACTATTTTAAGACTGTTTCCATTAAAGCTAATTGAAGCTCAATCTTGTAGTGGAAAGCAAATGGGATGGCAGAATGTGGTTGGTTAGAGAATGAAACAGCTACAATGATGCATATTTCCTATATAGGGTGTGTACTGATGGAAACTGTTCACAGACTCTTTGTACGACAATGCATTATGGAATAAAGTCTGATTGGAAGGTTGGCGGTTCAGATCCTCGTGATAGGTGAGCCCCCGTTGCTCTGTCCCAGCTCCTGCCAACGTAGCAGTTCAAAAGCATGCCAGTGCAAGTAGTTAAATAGGTATCGCTGCAGCGGGAAGGTAAACGGTGTTTCATTGCACTCTGGTTTCTGTTACACTGTTCTGTTGTGCCAGAAGTGCTTTAGTCAGCTTTCCACGTGACCTGGAAAGCTGTCTGTCCATAAACGCTGGCTCCCTTGGCCTGAAGCAAGATGAGCGCTACAACCCCATTGTCGCCTTTGATGGGACTTAATCATCCAAGGGTCCTTTATCCTTTACCTTTACCTTACCCCACCACTACCAGATGGGGTTGGACTTTTACTTTAAATCCCTTTAGTCACACATCCTGCCTCTTAAGCAACAAGCTAGTGCTTCATGCACCCACTTCCCCTGGAGACAGCTTTCATATCTGGTTAAATAAAAACAGTTAAACAAAAACAGTTCTTATCACATATTTTCACCTCTTATTCTCTTTTCAGTCTGCTCCTCTCATGCAGCCTCAGTTCCTGTCCTGACTACAACATCATGACAGTTTTCTGTTGCCTCTGCTCTTCCATATGACTGCACCACTCCCCCTTTTCAAACATGAGTTCTGCATCTTTGTCTCTAAAGAAGACAATTCAGAGACTAGGCTCCAATACTATCTTTCAGATCCCAGCACCTAGCTATCATGCTGCAAGTGTCACTCCAATACACACTCTCTGTGCTTGTCAGCTATGCTTAAGAGATAGAAGAAATTAGAAGAAATACCTTTCAGCTGCACCCCTGCACTATAGTTAGCCTCCAGCAATAGTGCTGTCTTACAACAAATCGTCGTATGCTAGAATATGTCGTTCTTTAGCAGAAACAGATTATAGTTCAGGAAAAGGTTGAGCTTCTCAGAAATCACTGCCTAATATTTAAAGGTAGCCTTCAATCTTTTGAAGTGGGTAGCACTATTTCCCCCCTTAAATGAATTAATAGATGGTAAGTGCAGGGGCAGGGACGCGGGTGGCACAGAGCCTAGGACTTGCCGACCAGAAGGTCGGTGGTTCGAATCCCCACGACGGGGTGAACTCCTGTTGCTTGGTCCCTGCTCCTGCCAACCTCGCAGTTCGAAAGCATGTCAAAGTGCAAGTAGATAAATTGGTACCGCTCCGGCAGGAAGGTAAACGGCGTTTCCGTGCGCTACTCTGGTTCGCCAGAAGCGGCTTAGTCCTGCTGGCCACATGACCTGGAAGCTGTACGCCGGCTTCCTCGGCCAATAAAGCGAGATGAGTGCAGCAACCCCAGAGTCGGCCATGACTGGACCTAATGGTCAGGGGTCCCTTTACCTTTACCTTAAGTGCAGGGGCAAAGGAAGGCATCGCGACACCCAGGGTGGGCATCGCTAAGTAGGGCACATGTGTGGCGTCACTACGTATGATGCATGCGCCGTATGTAGCAACGCCGCACATGCGTTGTATAGTGGTTTGTTGGCACTGCCGCTCCAGCGCCTTAAGGATGGTGCCGGGATCCCTCAGTTGCTGCTACAGCCGCAAATGGAGGATCCTCTGTTCATGGCTGCAGCCGTACGGCACTGGAGCGGCGCCACCGGCAAACCACTGAGTACAGTGCATGAGCGACATCGCACACGCGCTGTATAGCGTTTGCAGCTGGCACTGCTCCAGTGCCATATGCATGATGCTGGGATCCTCTGCTTGTGGCTGCAGCCGTGGATGGAGGATCCTCCATATGTGGCTGCGGCTGCATGATGGCTGCTCACGCCCCACTTCTTGTCACCCCCGCAGACATGGAACCTGGGGCGTACCACCCCCCACGCCTTCCCATTGCGATGCCACTGGGTAAGTGGGGAAGAGCAAGAACAAATTATCGTGAGAATTGTCTCTTATTCAGCTTAAAATAGATCATAACCATCATTTGCACTGACTCCATATGGATGATCAAAACATCATGGGTGGTGTTCAACTGAATTTTACTCAGAGTAGATCTACTGAAATTAATCAACATGACCAAGTCAGGTCTGTTAATTTCATTTTTTTTTTTTATAATTGATATTTATTAAGTTTTCAAAGAGTAACAACAAAAATTTCCAAAAAAGTTTGAAAATACAGAAAAAAACAAAAATAATACAAATAATAAAGAAGAAAAAACCCAGCCGCAGAAAAGAAAAAAAGAAAAACAGAAAAACAGAAATATAAAATCCTTTACGATCTCCATTAACTTCCTTTCTAGACTTCCTCCTCCTCCCCTCTCTTGTTTCTTAGTATTTAATTTTTACAGCAAATCCTTTCTGTTTTTTCATAACAATCTATCATTACGTTTCCTTATTCTATTTTCCCTCTTGTCATATAAAAACTTTAAAACTCAAAGCTTATATTCAATATTTAGCAAATTCTTACATCATTACCTTTTACAAATCCTTTACCAATCCTTACTTAAGCCATATAATTTCATTCAACATCCTTCAGACATTTATAAACATTCCCAATATTAAAAAATAAGAAAGAAAAATAATAAGTCAGATTCAGTCCAGTCAGCTTCCAGCCTCCCTCCCCTGGGCCCAGGATTGTCAGTCCTTTTAACCTCAATAATCCGGCTCCTTAACCTGGTTGTCTCGTATCCGAGGCCCTCAAGTCTCTTTCTTGCCCCTTTCGCCACTCTTGTTGATATTTCCCTTTCAGTCGTGGATACTCCAGCAAAAAGATGCTTTTGACTCTTTGCAGCAAGTCCATCCCAAACCCATTACCCAAGCCAGACAGCAGATAATACCACTTCCAATTTCCACAAAGCTTGGAGACTTCGACTACTCCAATCCTCTGATGGCCCATCACTAGACTCGGAAAGTCCAAATAACCATATAGAGGGGTGTCAATCCATCCCCCCATTTCCAAATCTGACCACATTTCATCTTTCCGAATCAGGTTTGTCCCAAGTTCATTTATCAAGTTCAAAGGCTGATCTTGCCCATCCAAAGGTCCCTCCATCTCTGAAGCCTCCGTCGCTACAGCAGGTTCATATACTTGTATAGACTTTAACTGAATTTCATTTGTTTGCTGCTGTGCTCTGGTAACTTCCATCATCAAGGTCGGCTCCTGACGCATCTGGTCCAGCTGGGCACTTAATTTTGCAAAACCTTCCAGGAACACTTGTTCAAGCCTTTGTACAAGCATTGTCCTTCAAGGTCAAAGAAAATTCTTTCCCACGAGAATAGTCCTTCTCTTTTAAACTCTCTGCATTGCAATTTCACTCAGTTCCACTAGATGGAAAACCCTTTTTTTTTTTTTTTTTTTAAGAGGGGGAAAAACAACAGCAACAATCTTTCTTTTTCCAGAAACACTTTATCTAAAATTCCCCCTTCCAAATTCAAGAGGCAACAGTAGAATCAAAATGTTACCCTTCTTTTAACTATCTGTCGAGCTGGATAAGCTTCAAAACGTCAGTTCTGACAGCCCGCTCCTGGTTCAGGGCGGTGGAAAATTACTTTATTTTAAACTCACTTCCGCAGGGTTGAAAAAACCAAAAAAAACCCCATATTCTCCGGCAGTCAAAGGGGGGTTCAGAAATCTTAGATGTTGAATTTTAGTTCTCTCAGAATTTAATTTTCAAGCTTTAGTATAATTTGTCTTTGCTTTCTTCACGTAACAAAAGAACGGAAGGCGACTTCCTGTTTAGACCTTTCCGTTCCGAGTCCCAATTAAATTCAATTTCAAGTTCAAGTCCAATGTTATTTATTTATTCACCAATCTTAAAAGTAGTTCAGCTCTTCCAGGATCAGGTACTCACGGATAGATGTTTTAGATGCCAAATTGTCCAGGAAAAAGGCAGCGCTCTCCGAAACGGCAGTGCGGCTTTGCTGCACGGAGGAAGCAGTCGACTCACAGCACCACGCACCTCCACTCCGGAGCCCGTTACCGGGCTCCTGTACAAGGGGAGAGAGCGCTCTCGGTGCCCGCCGAGTCCCACGTCCACAGGCTTCTTCCGCCTGTGGTTTTTAAGGGTCCCCGCTGCGCCGTAGCGGCAGGACCCAAGCCTCTGTGCAGCGGGTTCCCTTCAGTTCGAAGGGAATTCCGCCATTTTCCGGAGGCGCCACCCCGGAAGTAGGTCTGTTAATTTCAATGGTTCTACTCTGGGTAAAACTTAGTTGAATTCCACCTCATCTCTTGTGCATTTGGAAACAGGAATAACCAACATGAGGCCCTCTTGATGCTGTTGGACCACAACTCCTAGAACTCTGAACATTGACCATGCAGGGGCCATTGGGAGTTGCAGTGCAACAATGTCTGAAAGGCCCCACTTTGGCTACTCTTGGTTTAAGGTTTCTGGTTCCAGTGAAAGACGCATGAGATGTTCTGCATTGGCACTGGGAGCTGGACATGTAATTGTACATAGGACACAGACACAGACACAGACACACACACACACACACACACACACACACACTGCCTCACTGGTCAATTGACTTGTACTACTACTACTACTGCTACTACGACTACTAATAGTAATAATAAAAATAAAAATAAAATATTTATATACTGCCCTTCGTCACAAGATCTCAGGGTGGTTCACAGGATAAAATCAGATTACCAGGTCAGTGTTAGAGATGGCTAGATCCTATCCCACTCTAGAAATTGTCATAGGGAAGAACCATTTTGCACCATACAGGGTTCCTTCTGGTCTCCAGAGAGGAGCAATGTTGGTACAAGAAACAGCCATGTTTGTCACACAAACTGATGCAAGTTATTATTGCAGTAACATGAAATCTAGCTTGGAAATGGATCCCATGTTGCTCCAGTCATCTATACTTATTCTTCAGCTATAGAGATAATGGAGGATGAGGCTACCGTGAGCCTAAGAGCGGTAGTCTCATAATCTGGGGAACCGGGTTCGCGTCTCCGCTCCTCCACGTGCAGCTGCTGGATGACCTTGGACCAGTCACACTTCTTTGAAGTCTCTCAGCCCCACTCACCTCACAGAGTGTTTGTTGTGGGGGAGGAAGGGAAAGGAGAATCTTAGCTGCTTTGAGACTCCTTCGGGTAGTGATAAAGCGGGATATCAAATCCAAACTCTTCTTCTTCTCTTCTTCTACTAGTAATCATGGCTATGTTCTACCTCGGCTGTCAGAGGCAGCATGCCTCTATATACCAGTCACTGGGAACCACAAGTGGGGAGAGTGCTGATGCCCACATGCCCTGCTTGTGGGCTTCCCATAGGCATCTAGCTGCCCATTGTAAGAGCTGGTTACAGGACTAGACAGGCCTTTGGTCTGATCCAGCAGGGCTCTTATGTTCATACAGGCCCAGTCCAATGCAAGATGCTATTCGACTGCAGCAATGTGAGTTGCGGGTTTGTGCCACAGAAAGTCTAGCAGGTAGGATTTTGGCTGCTGGCACAACTTGCACTATAAAAAAAAACCTGAGTTAGCTACCAGAAATTCACAGTCCTGCAACTATTATTCAGTGATACATCTCAGTCGGGAGAGCTTATGGCATATTTGCATTGTTCAAGGAACAAATATTTTACAAAGGAGAATCACATAGTTTGCTGAAGAAGCCAACTTTGTTATGAGACATGACTGTTAAATGCAATCATTCAACATTGTGCTTCAAAGCTTCATTTAAAGATAACCCCATGATGGCATATTAGCTTAGCACAAGCACTGATGGGATAACCATGAATAACTCTGCTGGCATTATTAACCTCAACTAGGAGGTTTTCAGAGGTGACATGTTTGAATTTGGAATGATTTTCCACTAGATGCATTCTGAAGCAAAGGGATTTTTTTTTTTTTAAATGGCTTGTTCAGAAAGCCATTTTTGAATAAATGCAAAGTCAAACAAGCCAGCATGTCCTAATAATAATAACAACAACAATGCTAATAATCTCACATATCTCCTAAACGCAGCGTGGAAGGGTTTCAAGGGGGAATGTGGCTCTTTATTGATAACGCCTGCATAGCCAAGGCAACTGTAGTTGATAAAGATATGTTGCTGGCTAGTTTCCAACAACATTCTTGAGGGAGATGGAGTTCATTTGCTCTATAGATGCAACTCCCCCGGCATTCAGATGGTAATTTGTGCCACATTTGTTAAGTGCTTTTGCACTGGTACAAAATCAATAGATCCAATACTACTACTGCTACTACTACTAATAATAATAATCAGAATGTATGTTCTCATCATTTACAAGATTTGCGTGTCTGCCTGAAGTGTGCTTGTGTGAGTCAATTTATTATTTATTTTATTATTTATTGCATTCAGTTGAAGATCACAGGGCGGTTCACAGAATAAAAATACGAAATACTTGATTAGCAGTGCTCTGCATATCAGTAATATGTGAAGTGGCTGTATTACTGTTTTTTTCTTTGCCCTGACTTCCTCTTACGTTTGGATTTTACCATGGTTCTTAATGTTCACTTATTCAGTAATCCAGTTTGGGGGCCACTGAGGTGAGAAGGTAGAATATTATTATTAGGATTAAGCAAACAACTCTAGCTGTGATTGACAGCAATCCATACACCCTTTCATCTTGAAGTTATTCCTAGCACTTGACAGTGCCATGGTCAATCTGGCTACCGTATGTATTTCAGGACCATGGAGAGCAGCAGTCAGTTTTAGAAAGGGTGTTGATATGCTTGCCTTTGGAAATTCTACCTTTGGACATTTATGTTCTATTACTTAAAGAGACAAACAAATCCTTGCCCTGGAGGAGACTGTCCTTTGAAAGGGGAAGAGTAAACTTTATTTCCTGAAGCTCCAGGTGTTGTGTGTGTGTTTGTTTGGGAAAGGGTGTGTGACAAATCAGACATCATAGCAGACATGAATCATTGCGCACAAGATCTACTACAAGAGCAGCTGCAGATGCGTTTTTGGAAATGATTTTCACAGCTTCCCTGGCCACCCCCTGCTCAAGTTTTCTCTCATGCATTATGCACCAAAGCTAGTCACCCCCGCATTTTGCTAGTAGGGTGGCTCATGTTGCTTCTGCAGCTGCTTTGATGTCCTCCAAGAGCTCCAGTTTCATTTTCCTTTGGCTTGGCTAATAAATCAGCAATTCACAGCCTGATATGTGTGTTTATTTCCCAGCAAACAGAAGCTCATCCATTGCTAAATAAACAACAAATATAGAAAAATGAGGAATATGCTTTCTTGGAAAAAGAAAAAAAAAAGAAAAGGGAAAAAGAAAGGTATCCAATTAAAATTGCTGCCCCCACTTTGTTTCGTTTTTATGTGATATTGAAAGGAGTTTATTAAATTTGGCTGCCCTTCCAGAGAACAGCAGGTGAAAGAACTGACTGGATTTCAAAGCAGCTCTAATATCCAATGAAAGTAATGTGTTCGCTAAGAGTTTGTGTTAATGCACATCACCTTTTGCATTGGTTCAACTGAAAGTGCTATAGTTTGAGCACGTATTGTCAGGCCTAGGTGTCTGGTTTTGAGAATCTCAAACACTGAGAACTCAAAGGGAGATTGCAAATGAGTTACTTTGTTCCCTACACATGATGGCCTGTGGTGTTCGTCTTCTTAGTCTATCATGCCGAAGCATCAGCTTGTTAAGCACTTGTGAGCTGGATGATTGGTTACTTCCTTTGACCACAATGGGCTGTTAATGCAGGCACATAAGCCCATAAGACATCTACCCTGGTAGCATTCTGAGGCACCTAGAGTGTGAACAGGATCTGTCTCAATCTACCTCTCATTGCCAGTGGACTTGAGGGCCTTGAAAATTGGCCAGTGCAGTGCAGGGCCAATTTCACATTGGTGGAAAAACAGGCAATAAAAATCATGGTGTGGCAAAATCTGATGCCTTGAGCTGGAATAATGATAATGAAATAGGAAGACCTTCCCACCTGCCTTCCTTAGAGTTATTCCGGTTAAATGAGATGTTCATTGCAAATTTCTGTTGGTGAATTGTGGTCCTTTTACTCTGAATGCAGACTCATGTCTTCATTCCGGTGAGGGGAATATATTTGCCCCCATGCAGTATAAATTTGAACAGAAACATAATGCTATGGCAATGTGGATAATCCATTTCCCCCCTCTCTGGGTTCATACATGCAATTTAACAGCTCCCGTGAGTTGGACACCCCTGGGGAGCCTATCTTCTTTGAAAAACACTTTCTCTTTCTAAGCCTCAGTACCTTGCTATTGAATATTTCATCAGACTTTCTGCTGCTAACTGCTGTCATACTTCAGATTCAACATTTAGTCAATACATTATTCCAAAAAAAGAGAGACAACAGTTAAAAGCAATGTGGAAAATGGGACTGTAAAATAAGGGTCCTAAGATAGTCTTTTAATAGTGCAGCAACCATCACCATTAAGACTCAAAACCCTGTAGCAGAAAGGCTATCTATTGCTGCATTTTTAAGCAATTACTTTGGTTTCAAAAGGTTAAGCAATCCTTGTGTGAGGAGAAAATAGACTGACATAGAAACAGAGACCATGTTAACCTGGAGAACTGGGGGGGGGGATGAGACCCCAAATTTAATCATAGTGATTGCATATGGAGGCTTATGTACTTGTGGTATTACCAGCTAAGGAAATATTTCTTCTTCTTTTTTTAAAAATTGGTTTTCCTAGTTTCTCTTCATGGGTAGGGTCTCTGTGCAATTGGGACACTCACACAGCTAGGTATCCTAATTGCATGGAACTCGTAGACGTGAGGTAGTGGTTTTGTGTGTGTGTGTGTGTGTGTGTGTGTGTGTGTGTGAAAAAAGGGACCTTTAAAAAGCTGGTCACAATACCGCCAGCATATAACACCTTGCTTGCAGGATTTCAACTGGTTGCCAAGCTGTTAATAGGCCAAGTTTACGGTTTTTAGTAACAGCGTATAAGGCCCTATGCAGCTCAGGACCAGCTTACTTGAGAGAGTGCCTTATCCCTGAAATACCCAATAGATCACCATAGTCTGCAGGAAAGGTTCTCCTGCAAGTTTCAACGATCTCAGAAGCCTGCTCCACAGTAACCAGGAGAGCAGGGCTGTTGTTGTGGCTGCACCTATTTTGTGGAACTGCATCCCTGTTGAGATACTACACGTACTCAATTATTTGAAGTTTCCAGAAACAACTGAGGACATTTTTGTCTCAACAAGCTTTTGCATCTGGGTGAAAAGGTCTCTGCCTTAGGTGTCCATCTTGTATTGTTTTTTAAACCAATATTCAGCCAGTTTTCGTACTGTTTTAAAAACCATTTTAGCTATTCTTATGAGATGTTTTTAAATTGTCATGAGGCATATATGCAAGAGACAATGAATTAAATAATGGTAATAATGGCAAAAAAGTAAAGCAGAGACATCAGCTTGCCAACAAAGGTCCGTATAGTAAAAGCTATGGTTTTCTCAGTAGTGATGTGTAGAAGTGAAAGCTGGACCATAAAGAAGGCTGATCGCCGAAGAATTGATGCTTTTGAATTATGGTGCTGGAGGAGACTCTTGAGAGTCCCATGGAGTGCAAGAAGATCAAACCTCTCCATTCTGAAGGAAATCAGCCCTGAGTGCTCACTGGAAGGACAGGTCCTGAAGCTGAGGCTCCAATACTTTGGCCACCTCATGAGAAGAGAAGACTCCCTGGAAAAGACCCTGATGTTGGGAAAGATGGAGGGCACAAGGAGAAGGGGACAACAGAGGACGAGATGGGTGGATAGTGTTCTCAAAGCTACCAGCATGAGTTTGACCAAACTGCGGGAGGCAGTGGAAGACAGAAGTGCCTGGCGTGCTTTGGTCCATGGGGTCACGAAGAGTTGGACACGACTAAATGACTAAACAACAATAATGGCAACAGTATGGCCCTGCTCTGGTCTGAACTCAGGTATGTCTTATATATGCATGGATTGGGCTTATGATGGGACAACTGCACCACGTGCAGGTAGAGTTGCTTACAAATTGAAACCAATAAATGAACATGGGCCAATGTTAAAACAAACATATTGAGTTTGGCACTTCATAGTGCTTTATTATTCCCTTTCAGTAAGGCCTGTAAACTTGGTCATTTTTTAATCTGTATAGATGCATGAATCCCCTGAGAAGTTTGCTTGCAAAATGCCACAGGAATGATCGAGAGCAGTGATATATTTTTATTTTCTTGAATTTTTTTTCTTGTTGCTCTCTTAGTGCCGGAATAATTTCTATCAGAGTTGGGGTGAAAACTGAAGTAAAGAAGATGAATGTGCAGTCTTTTCATCCTCTAATTGTAAGGCCAGACTTTTTCTTATACTCCCCTCCCCCCACATTTCAGGATCATTTCAGTTTTTTATGTTTTCTGGTGTGTATTTGAGTCCTTACAACAAAGAGAAACGGGATAACCCCTGTCTCCTTTTTACAGATGATAACATTACTTAGATTTTAATATTACTGAGCACTGTGACTGCAGAACTGGGAACTGGTAAATAATAAATGTGGCTCCACAACATACAGTCTGTCAGATGTGGTCATACCAATGCAGCAACAAGTCAGTCAAATGCAAGATCTTACGGTAACAAAACCCAATTAAATATTTAACAAAAACCACAAAAGAGAAAGAGATGAGTAAATGAAGAATGTTGACTTGAAAGAGAAGAATGGAAAACAGAATGCTTTTAATGGCTAATACTAAGCTGACAGATTCTGCTTTGATCTCCCTCCCCTTCCTTCTTTCCTGGGCTTCTTTCTTCTCCTTTTTTCCAGGGCTGACCTGATGGTAGCCCTCTTCCATGCCACATGCAGAAGTTGACGGAACTGGACTTCAGCAATGTTGCTTAGGGCAGTGTTATTCAAGCTTGGGTGCCCACATGTTTTTGGACTACAGCTCCCATCATGCTTAGCAAACTTAGCCAATTGTCAGAGAGATGAGAGTTGGGTAGACTCCAACACCTCACCACTTTCCACCATTTGCTGGGGTGGTGCTCTAGGGATTTTCAAAGGGGCGTGCTAGGGCAAGGATGCTTTGCCCTGCCACGTCCCTGGCAGAGATCAGCAGCGGGCCTTCCGGGGAAGTACTCTGGGGATCATCAAAGGGACATGACAGGGCTGGTGATATGCAAAAGAATGTGGCAGGGCCAAGCATCTTCATCCTGACACAAGCTTTGGAGGATCACCACAGAATTTTGGGGTGCCCCAGCCCCCTTCTTCAAAATATTGCTCCTCGGCCCCCTGTTGGCAACTCAAAATGTTTGCTCTTAGCATTTAGAAACCACATTGTCAGGAAAGTGCTATTTAATGTTTGGTTAAGATATAAGGATTTGCTAGAAAACAAAACCCCAAGGTGGCTGTCACCAATGGAAGCGAAAGCCTTGAAAAAGGTCAATATGGAGGTCAAATGGCCAAAATATTGGGAAATTTTGGAACAAGACGGAGATAGACTGAAATTGCAGAGTTTTGAAAAACTAAAAAACAAAGTGCGAGACTGGCTTCATTATTATCAGATAATGGAGGCATTTAAATTGGACAGGAAAATTGGCTTCCAGGTGGAAAGATCCAAATTAGAAACAGAATTGTTAGAACCCAAAACTAAGAATTTGTCAAGAATGTACAACTTGCTGCTGAAATGGAATACTCAGGATGAAACGGTAAAATCGGCTATGATTAAATGGGCACAGGACGTTGGCCATAATATTATGCTTGCTGACTGGGAACAGTTATGGACCACAGGTATGAAATTTACGGCATGTAATGCCTTAAGAGAGAATATTATGAAAATGATATACAGGTGGTACATAACCCCAGTCAAGCTTGCAAAAATCTATCACTTGCCCGATAACAAATGTTGGAAATGTAAAGAAACTGAAGGTACATTTTTTCACCTTTGGTGGACGTGCCCAAAGATTAAGGCTTTCTGGGAAATGATATATAATGAATTAAAAAGGTATTTAAGTATACCTTCCCTAAGAAACCAGAGGCCTTTCTCCTGGGCATAGTCGGCCATATGGTGTTAAAAAAGGATAGAACTTTCTTTATGTATGCAACAACAGCAGCAAGAATACTCATCGCAAAGTATTGGAAGACACAAGAACTTCCCACGCTGGAGGAATGGCAGATGAAACTTATGGACTATATGGAATTGGCGGAAATGACTGGTAGAATCCGTGACCAGGGAGAAGAGTCGATGGAGGAAGATTGGAAGAAATTTAAAGACTATCTTCAGAAACATTGCAAAATTAAAGAATGTTAGAGTGATGTTGGACTGAAAACAAGCGGTTTCCAGCTGTACAGGTTAAAGTTAATGATAGACTAAGATTAAAGATTAGGATTAAAGATGTTTAAAGAAATGGAAATTTGACATTAAGAGGAAAAATTTTAACGTTATATGATACTAAGACCAACGATCAGGTTTAAAGAAGTTGAAGTTATATATTTCAATATCTTATTAAAGCTAAAGATTGGGATTAAAAAGTGGAAAAGAAATTGCTGGACAAACAATTTGGATTGGAATACAAAAGAGGGAGGTATGAGGAAGTCCAGAAAATAAGTAACTAAAAAACGGAAATGGAAAAGAGATATTGTTTTTAATTGTTTTATTTTTTGTTCTTTTATTGTTGAATCTTGCTTTTTTTGTGTGTTTTTGTTATATGTATTGTGTATGTTTTTCTTTTCTTTCATTGTTGTTTAAAACTCTAATAAAAATTATTTAAAAAACAAACAAACAAACAAAATATTTGCTCTGATGAAGCATCAGAAGAGTGCAATGCTGTATTCTTCTCAACAATCTTCATGGGAACGTGGATTATAAGGGATGCAAGCAGATCTTCATTCATATGACAAGATGTCTGTTCCATTTCCACCCTCTGCAGCTTCTTAGCCACCTGCCGTCCCCCATCTTCTCCTAATCCCCCAACCCTCTGAAGCAGATTTTGAGAGTGCACCAAGAGTTGCAGGGAGAGGTGAATCCATTCCACAATTGGTGTCTATTCCTTAGCTGGGCAGTTATCATTGTGGTCCATGCACTGGTAACCTCAATGCTGGATTACTGTAATGCGCTCTATGTGGGGCTGCCCTTGGGTCTGGTTTGGAAGCTCCAGCTGGTGGAGAATGCAGCTGCTCGATTGCTGATGGGGGTATCTGCCCAAGAACATATGATACCGTTGTTGAAACATCTTCACTGGCTACCCATCTGCTACTGAGACAGGTTCAAGGTCCTTACATTAATTTAGAAAGCCCTGAACAACTTAGGTCCAGGGTACCTCAGAGATCACCTGAAACCTAATGTCCCAGCTTGATCACTGAGATCATTTGCAGGAACGTCATTGGTTTCCCCCCCAACTTGGTGAGGCTCATTTGACAACAATAAATAGAGCCTTGAGTGCCATTGGCTCAATGTTGTGGGTTACTATTCCGATAGCGATTCAGCAGGGGCCGTCTGTTTAGACTTTTAAATGCTTCCTGAAAACCTTTCTATTCTGCCAGGCTTATGCAGGCAATTAATAATATATCTTTCCACAATGGCTAAGTGATGCCTGTTTTTAATTTTTATAATGTGTTATTACTGCATGGTTTTATGTATTCTTGCTGTAAACCACGTTGATATATTTTATGAAATAGCAGCCAATAAGTATGTTTATAAATAAATAAGCAAACAAATGGATTTCAACCAATATCATCTAGAATGAACTACAAATAACCAAAATCACCCCACCTCTCACCACATTTCAGTGTTGTTGAGCTGAATCAAGAGATAGACTCATGCTAATGGCATAAGAAGGTTCCCTTTGGCACTTGCAGAAATTATCCTTCTTTGATATGTAAGCGGGCCTTTGTAAATGATGACAAAGCCATGACAAAGCCATGTGGAGATAGAGGCACCTATGTTATGAAATAATCCTTCCTTTGATATAACCAGTCCCATTAATTCTGGAAATACAAAAGGACATTTCCCTTAAAGATTCCTATTGAGACTTACATTCTCTTGAGGTGTTTTCAGTGCTTAAAAAATCCTCACTCTTTGAAAGATCTCTTGATATTTTTTTCCTAATCATATTCAAATGGTTCAATACATATAGCACCCTAATTGCTATATTAGGACCACCTTCTGTGCTGCGATAATTCTTTTGTGAAATGAGCATGTGTAATGGTGGTCAAAGGCTTTTGATCAGGTCATTACAATGTGCCTCCCATGGAAATGAATTTAAGCAAGCACTGATTTTAAGCAAATATGCCTTCGTACAAATAATAAGTCCCTGATGACATGCTTGAAAATAGGATTCAAGCAGCTGGACCTGCAACAAAATGTTGCAGTGTGGAGCAATCCTGTTCCGTTAGCCATGCCCCTTTCTTGAATGCTGTGCTGAATTCTCCTGTCTCTCTCAGTTTGCTCTTATTTCTGCATTCCACAGCAGCTGAGCATGTTTAGTTCTCATTGGACATTAATGTGGTTATGCAGTGGACAGATGGGGGGCAGAGCCAGCAGAGCACATGATGGCAAAAATCTTCACTGGCTACCCATCTGCTACTGAGACAGGTTCAAGGTCCTTACATTAACTTACAAAGTCCTGAACAACTTAGATCCAGGGTACCTTGGGGATCGCCTGAAACCTAATGTCCCAGCTTGATCACTGAGATCATTTGCAGGAATGTCATTGGTTTTCCCCTAACTTGGTGAGGCCCATTTGACAAAAATAAATAGAGCCTTGAGTGCCATTGGCTCAGTGTTGTGGATTACTCTGCCGATAGCTATTCAGCAGGCCCGTTTGTTTGTGATCAAGCTGGGACATTAGGTTTCAGGCCCGTTTGTTTAGACTTTTAAATGCTTCCTGAAAACTTTTCTATTCTGCCAGGCTTGTTCAGGCAACTAATAATACAAGGCCAGCTCCTTTCACATGATGCAAAAAAAAACCCTGCTCTCAAATAGGCTTGAGCCCCACCCCCACCCCCATCCAGGTGACACTCTCCCAGTAAGACGCTGATCAGGTCAGAATCTAGCCTCTCCCAAAGAGAGAGTTGCAAAGGTGGACACCCTACCATTTAGTGGGCTGTGGTTGTTTTGTGTTGGGGCACTCAACTGAGTTATATCATCATCATCATCATCATCATCATCATCACCATCACCACCACTAGAGCTTTGCACTGCAATCAAGCTTTATTTGAAGCTTTCAAATTTGCCCCCAAACACAGTGTTCAAGCCACATAAACAGCCACGTACCAAATTTGATTGAAAGGAAATGGAGGATTGATTTTCCTTCCAGCTCCTTGTCAAAGCTACCAGGAACCACTTCAAGGAGAAACCACTTGGGGATAGACTTGTAACATAGCAGTCCTATGGGAGCTGGTAGTGGGTGAGATTGTTTGGAGGAGAAACTGGCAATTCTTAAGCCATGCCAAGTGTGTGGGAACGTGGCTCTGTGGTGGATGGTGTTTCTTGTAGTGATGGTGAGGATTAACTATTCCAGTTGCAGGACTGGCATAGCTTTTCAGTCAGTTTGAGGGGCTGCGTTGAGGGGGAAAAGGATACCTTTGGATCAAAGCTGCTTTCAGCCCTGCTGCTGCTGTATTAATGAAGCTGTCAACTGTGGACCACAGAGAAGGAATTCCATGGCATCCCCTCAGCCACCTGGAAGAGGGTTGCTCCCTTAATTTTAAGGGGAAAGTACAGGAAACTGTACATTTCTAGAGTTTATTCCTCATGGAGATTTGATTATAGCCAGCCACCCTGCAAATCTTCTGAATTCAAAAATACTTTGAGTCAATAAAATTATATTTGAATACTATAAAATCATATGATATACATTTCAGGTTCTTATGTTGCCGAATAAGAAAATACGACTTTAAAAAAAAGTGTGGTGGGGAGGGGCCTATGTGTGCATTTCATTACAATGGATTTTATACCCTTTCTGTCTAACAGAGGCCTTTCAGTGAAGTGGCAGCTTGCCATTTAAGAGTAACATTGTCATTTCCCATCTAAGAGAAACTTTGCCCTTTATTCCTGTATCTTTGACACCCACCTTTATCAAGGTTTTGAAAATAGGCACATTATTTTAAATTGGTTGATTAATGGATTAAAACCCAAGTAAAAACTAAGCATCTTTAATTGGTTCTCGCTCAGACACGGTGATTATTACTTTACATGTTCCGCAGCTAAAAATATGATCTGGGCTGCAGCCTTGACTCAAATTAAGCCCTCTGCTCTGAAAATTATTATAAAGATGAAGATATAATTGCATTTTAATCATTAGTAATGCAGTTGTACACACATATGCGCATGCTTATAGTACTAATCATGTCAGCATGTTGCACGGTTATGCAGGAAGGTATTTGGAACCATTTATCACAATCACATTAGCATTAGCCACAAGTCATTGCACTCCTGAAACTGGATCAGGCTTGGAGCATGATGAAGCAAAATGAACTCTATACCAGAATGCTGACTTGGTGGAGAGTATCTGCTCTTGTCCTGGTCGCTTCCTTTGCTCCCAGCAGCACAGACTGAGGACAGGTGGTCTGCCTGCTATCTCTTAAATGGGCAACCACAGAGTCTAGAAAACCACTCATTCAACCACTGTGGATGCTGCTTTAATTATATTGTATTACTGGGCCAGGTTCAGGGTTCTTGGGATAACACAGAATGCCCTACAAAAAAACCTGGATCCAGTAGTGCCTGAACCCTTATATCTCAGCTCAATTGCTGAAATCAATTGGAAGAAGACTGTCAGTTCTCCCCCATGTTACCAAGACATCCTTGCTTTTGATTTTTAGGCATCTCTTAAATCTTTTATTAAATGCAGATGGGCCTTTACAGATGTTTAATTTTAATTTTTGATTAGCCACTTACAGAGTATTTGTATTTTTTTAAAAAATTGTGTTTTATATTTTGATTTTTTGCATTATCCCCATATTTTGTGATACGGGAGCACAGAAATAAATAAATAAACATCATATAGCTGAATAGCATCACATATTCCTTATTGCAGCAGTTGCTTGTATTTGTTTGGATTGATGGGGTGAAGACAGACCGACCAGATTGGTAGGAGCCAGAGTCCGTGATGGGTAGGGCTAACTCACAATAGTTTCCCCCCTCATCTTCTTTCCTCCTGGTATCCAAAGACATCCCATGCCAATGCCTGGCTATTTTGCACCCTAGGTAAAGCTAATTACTCCCCCCCCCCAAAGTTGCTAACTTCAGTTTTCAAAAACAGATGTCTTGTAGAGACACAAAAGCACAAAACTTAAAACTTCTGAATTTATTTTAAATTGCAAGAATAATTAACACAACAATATCTGATTATTTTGCTCAAATACAAATGAAAATGTTTTATAGCACACACATCATTTCCAATTATCTTTTGAATTGTGATGTTAACATTTAAGTCTCTTAAAAGTTTCACTTTCAGGCACATCAAAATCTCACTTTGCACTTTCTTTTGTATTTGAGAAAGAAAATCAGAGATTATCACAAGACTGTGCTTTGTGGGGCAGTGCCCCATCCATCTTCTGTTATCATCATCATCATCATCATCATCATCATAATGGACCAGCCTCCACTGCCACATTGGTAAATCAGAAATACCACCTTCTACATCAGCATGTGTGCAGGGGTAATACGAGTGCTACCTAAATTTAATGTGTGAAAAGAGGACCACATAAAAAGCCATCATAGCAAACCCTCCAACACGTCACCATGGAAAACCATGGTCACCATGTCACCATGGAAAGGTTGATATGCTGGGTCTCAAACTTTTGGTGAGACTTTGAAGATCTATGGCCAGTCAGAATAGGCAATGTAGGGTAGATTGGAGTGGAGAACCTCAGCACCAGTGGAAAAATGTGGTCCTCATATTTTCTCTACTTAGCCATTGAGACACTCCCAGGTTCCACCCATTTCTGGCCCTGCTCAGCATTCTCCTTGAGTGCTTTTGTGTGGCTGGAATCTTTCATTGAAGTGTCCTGCTGGCCTGGGTGGAGGGCAGGGGTGGAGCAAGGTGGGTGCGGGCTGCCCCGGGTGAAATCACCGAGGGGGGGGTGACATTTGGCGTGCTGCCGCCTACGACTCCTGCCTACCCCAAGCCGTCGGGGGGAAGGGGAGTAGTTGACCTGGGTGGAGGTGTGTGTGTATCTAGAAACCCCTTGATTTTGTATGGGTAGAATGTAGCCTTCTGTCCAGAGGTCAGAGTCACATGCAAAGCTCTAACTATTTTTGCCTCTGGCATGCAACCTCTGGAATGCTCCACATTCCACTTGGACTGAAAAAAGGTCCCCCTCTCCTTGTGGGGTAGATTAACCCATAGTTTGACAACATTTAAAGGGCCTGTGCATGCTCATGTATGTTCCCAGTCTTAAAACTGTGTGCCTGGGAAATTTGGGGGTGTGTGGTAGTGTCTATTTTGGGAGACATATGAAATCCCTTGAAATGTATGGCAATAAATGTCTGCTCAAGACAACATTTTCCTGTCTCTACTGACTGATTTTCACTGAAAATGACTAACTAGCCCTATGCTTCCTGCTACATTTCAGTGGAACACAATCCACCTGAGAGAGCTATACAATGCACTTCATAACTATTTTGTACTGGCACTTTCATTAAAAGGATCAAAGGTGAATTAGCATGCAGAATTAGCTACCTTCTGATCCCTTGAGGTTCTGCCTCCACCGGGATTAGTCAGACAATAGATGTGTGGTATGTTTTACTTATGAATGTGTTGATGAAATTCAACCTTATAAATATCAAGCTGGAAATTCACTAGAGATGCCATGAAAAAATTCTAGGGATGTAGAACCCTGAAATATGTGTTTTGCTTTATAATTGGAGGTGGAAACGATACCCTGACAATTCCGTTTCTTTATTCTTCCATGGGTTTGCTCTGCCCTGAGCTAGGAGAATCCCTAAATTAATTTAGAAATTGGAGCATGCAAAGTTTGCCACTGCTGCAGTTCATTGCAAATGTGACAGCTGGTGTGGTGCAGTGAGTATAGCTTTGGAGATGAATATGGGAAATCAGGGTTCAAGTTGTTGCTCTGCCATGATGCTCACTGGGTTACATTATTAGGTTATTCTTTCCCTCTCCATCCAATCTCACAGGCAGAGGTAGCTGGAATGATGGGTTAGTGACAGTGACAGGTTTATAGAGTCAGTGTGGGGCTGGTCCCCTGAGGGGGGCGGGGCTGCCCAGGAACATTAGCAAAGTAAAGGTAAAAAAAGAGAGTAAAGGACCCCTGGATGGTTACGTCCAGTCAAAGGCAACTATGGGGTTGTGGTGATCATCTTGTTTTCAGGCTGAGAGAGCCGGCGTTTGTCCACAGACAGCTTTCTGGGTAATGTGGCCAGCATGACTAAATCACTTCTGGTGCAACAGAACACCGTGACGGAAACCAGAGCGTGTGGAAATGCCATTTACCTTCTCCCAGAAGCGGTACCTATTTATCTGCTTGCACTGGCATGTTTTCGAACTGCTAGGTTGGCAGGAGCTGGGACAGAGCAACGGGAGCTCACTCTGCCACTGGGATATGAACCACCAACCTTCTGATCAGCAAGCCTAAGAGGCTCAGTGGTTTAGACCACAGGCCACCCACGTAGCTAAGTAGCTCTGACCTTGCTGCCACCCTGCTCTCTCCTGGTAGGCTGCAGCAAAGCCACTGTCAGGAGGGTGGTGGTGTAGCACAACCCCACCACACAAGCTGCTCCTCTTCACAGGGAGGACAAAATTCTCTGTGTATGTGTGTGTTTGAAGAACCCTGGAGGAAAGCTAGGATATAAATGTAACAAGAAATAAAACTAAGGTGCCCCCACTCATTGATATTTGAAGGGCTGTAAGATAGGGATGCGGGTGGTGCTGAGCCTAGGACTTGCCGATCAGAAGGTTGGCGGTTCGAATCCCTGCAACGGAGTGAGCTCCCATTGCTCGGTCCCTGCTCCTGCCAACCTAGCATTTCGAAAGCACGTCAAAGTGCAAGTAGATAAATAGGTACCGCTCTGGTGGGAAGGGAAGGTAAACGGTGTTTCCGTGCGCTGCTCTGGTTTGCCAGAAGCGGCTTAGTCATGCTGGCCACATGACCCCGAAGCTGTACGCTGGCTCCCTCGGCCAATAAAGCAAGATGAGCGCCGCAAGCCCAGAGTTGGCCACGACTGGACCTAATGGTCAGGGATCCCTTTACCTTTACCTTTAATGCAGAAGATGGAACAGATTTGCTCTGTTGGTCCAGAGGCCAGGACTATAAGTAATGATAACAGGGAAGTGGGCTCTTTCACTGGTGGCAGCAGTGCTGTGGAATGCCCCCATCAGTATTGGCATTCCACCAGCTCTTGAAGACTGTCTAGACAAGCATTCCCCTGAAATGAACTTTCTGATCTAATTGTTTTTATTGCTCTTTTAACTGTTTTAATTATGCTTTTTAAGAAACTTGGCTTTATTATGTATTTTAATTATAGATGTTTTGTTACTGACTGTATACTTGTGAATTGCTTAGAAGCCATTTTGGCATATGCATATATGTTCAAAAGCATACCTGCATGTGTATGTTTGTGTGTGTGTTGATAATATTATTATTATAATGATGATGATGGACAGAAATGACAAGGAAACATTAAGCATTAGGAAAAACCTCCTAGTGGTAAGAGCTCTTTGAACAGAGTGCCTGGGAGGTGGAAGGCTCAACTTCACTGATGTTATTTAAACAGAGACTTGATAGCCATCTGTCAGGGATGGTCGTGCACTAAACAGGGGGTTGGATGAGATTACCTCCAAGATCTCTTCCAACTCCACTGCAAACAGCTTCCTAATCCCCCAAAGGCCACAAGCCTCTCACAATCTCTTTCTTGTGTTGCAGCCTTGAGTGTGCCTTTTGCATTATGCAACAGGGAAATATGTTGCCTTCTGTTTTGACAATTTGATTACACTCATGTTTAATGCTCAGATGCAATCTAGAGTCCTATTGCAGCTCCGTTAAACTGCCATGATGCAAAGAAAAGAGGAGTGAATGGGCAGGCAATATCTGGAAAAGTCATGGAGCCACGTTCTTCTCAGTGAATTAAGAGATAGGCTTCACTTAGGTGGTGATGACTCTTACAATCTTTCACCTTTGGGGAGGGGCAAGGATGCAGTTAACTATGCATTATGATTCACACATCATCTGCTGTGCTCATAGACTCCAATCTATTTATTTTTAAAGTGGGTTATACAGCTTGTAGACATACTAGGGGCCCAACAGAAAGGGGGAGGGAAGGAGGAGGAGGAGAGGGCCTCCTTATGCTAGCAGAAACATTTTGTCTTCCCACTCCCTTCCCACAAGCCCCTAAAACATCCTCAAGCTGTGGCTGACCAGACATGTGCTGTGATTCCCAGCAAGTGGTATTTAAAGCCACAATGCCTCTGAAAGTGGGGGCAGAACATAACCACCATTGCCAGGAGTCACAGAGGAGGCACAAGGGCTTTCCTGGTGCTCCTAGCTGAAAATCATTATAGGTGGCTGGGTGGTGTCTATTCTTGATTTGAACTTCATTTTTTTATAGCTGGTTTCTTAGAATACCTGCTTACATAATGCCTCAGCAGGATGATCTCCAGGGTCCAAAGTGTCTGGCTGACCAGGAAGCTGTCCGCAGAGCCCTGAGGAGCTCCAGAGGATGTTTCTCTCTCTCTCTCCCCATCAGAGGATTCTTTTAAAAAAATAATTAAATTAGAACAATGGTGGTGGGGAAAGTCCATTGACCATGCCGATAGGATTTGGAGTCCAACAACAGCTCTAGGGTCACAGCTTTGTCCCCCACCCCCTGTGCTTAGGAGTTGCATTGGTATGAATGGTGTGATTAGCAATCACCATGGCTTTCTATTATTATTATTATTATTATTATTATTATTATTATATTTTAACAATTTATATACCGCTTAACTACAATTGCCTCTAAGCAGTATTCAAAAAAGACAATGCAGAAAAGAAACGATGAAATCAGATTTTGATTAAAATGCCTGCTGATGGTTTTTTAAAAGTCTTTAGTAGGTATCTGAAGTTCATCAAGGAGGCAGCCTGACTGACCTCAACTGGAAGGGAGTTCCATAAAACTGGGCCCACAATAATGAATGTTCAGCTTCTGAGAGGTGTGAGCTGTGTATCTGAGGCATTGGGGACCATGAACAGTGACTCCCCCAAATATCTCAGTGATCAGGCAGAGATATAAGGGATCAGGCAGTCCTTGAGGTATCCTGGACCCAAGTTGTTCAGGGCCTTGTAAATTAGTACAATAACTCAAACTGGGAAAATCAAATAAACTAATCATGTCATTTGCTAGGTCTCAAAGCAGTTCTCTGTCAGGAATGGCTTCCAATTGCAAAATTGTCCATACCATTAGCTCATGGAGGAGGGAAGGAGTAGAATGGCTGGGTGTTAAGAGGCCTCAAGTATTTCTAGCAGCAGAATATAAAACAAAGCATGAGCAACAGAAAGTTCCATATTAAATGTCACTGCATACATTGTTCTCCCCAGTTGGCTGTCAAGAAGAATAAAGCATGTGGAAGATTGCGCTCTGTGCGAAGGCTACACAGCTTGACTTGGCTAATAAAGGTTGATTGTATGGGATTAGGAGCAATACAAAACATATTTTAATGAATAATATTTTCAAATAACTCAAGACAGAACCATTACCGGGTTTATCTATTTGCATCAGCAATCTGCTGTGTTTGTAAAACCTGCTTACGCCTTTTGGATTTAAATTATTTTTATGCGAGGGACCCATCGAGTAGCTTTATACAGTGCAGTTTCAATTGTGTTTCCTAGAGTCTCAGTGCCATATAGGGCTGATTTATCATGGTATTGTGGATCCTTCTTGTCAATACACCAATGCTTAAACTGGGAACTGGAGCATTTAAAGCATGTGGAGGAAATGCAGACCACCTAAGGTACCAGCCAGTTTAGATTTACCTGATGCCCCTGCAGTTTCTCACTAACCCACACTGCTGTTACTCCTCCTTCTCCAATATCTATATTATTTATTCAGTGCCATCAATGCATGTGGTGCCAAAGGACAGGATCCTCCATCCGAGAACTTGCTATTACAATGCAATTTATCCAACCATAGCATCTTTTTATTTCGCCAAGTATTCAAGTAGCTGGGGCCCAGAAAGGGTTATATGAATGGGGCCAAGCAGTTTGAGAAATGCCAATATGGATGCTGCAGAGCAGCTCTGTTCTTTGGAGGCAGTCCAGTTTGAGCTCCCTGAGAGCTTTGACTGTGTTCCAGCCCGCTCTCAGACATTCCCTTGGCAACCAGCATTCCAAGGGGTGAGGGAGTCTCCTCTGACCACTGTTCAGCCTGCGTCAGATCTAATCCTCTCTGTTCTGCAGCTGGCTGTAAAGTTCCACTAGGAGCTGGCTCATTCCTGACAGAGACCAGTTAGTGATGTGGTTGAGTTGACAGGAGAGTCAACAGTGTACAAAAGTAGGAAGAGGAGTTCTATTTCCATTGCTGGAGTCAGGATGCCTCTGAAGACCAGCTGCTGAGAATTACAGTTGAGGAGCACACTTGCACTTGTGTCATGCTTGCAGGGGACACAGGTGGTGCTGTGGTCTAAACCACTGAGCCTATTGGGCCTGCCGATCAGAAGGTTGGCGGTTCAAATCCCCACAACAGGGTGAGCTCCCATTGCTCTGTCCCAGCTCCTGCCAACCTAGCAGTTCAAAAGCACACCAATGCAAGTAGATAAATAGGTACCACTGTGGTGGGAAGGTAAACGGTGTTTCCGTGTGCTCTAGTTTCCATCACAGTGTTCCGTTGTTCCAGAAGCGGTTTAGGCATGCTGGCCACATGACCCGGAAAGCTGTCTGGGGACAAATGCTGGCCCCCTCATCCTGAAAGCGGATGAGCGCCATAACCCCCTAGTCACCTTTGACTGCACTTAACCGTCCAGGGGTCCTTTACCATGCTTGCAGGCTTCCCATAGCCATCATGTCAAGAACTGTGAGAAAAGGGTGCTGGACGAGATGTGTATCTGCAGAGCTCTTATGCATTTATCTTCATACACTGGTCAACTGTCCTAAATACACACAGGATGAGCTTGGCTTCCTCTTTGCTGTCTTCAGATGCAGTGAGAATTTCATTTGGAGAAGGTTTTGCAAACATTTCCTGAATAGAAGCTAGTTAACATTTGAGATTTCTTCAGGTGGTGGGTCATCACCAAACAAGAACAGGTTAAGAAGTCATTGTGCTTAATCTGAAAGTGAAGCAGCAGCTTTTCAAGAGAACAGAATGCAAAGAACCTTTGCCTAGCATTGAAGGGTGGGCTTATTTTATTTTATTTTTGCTTCCCTGGAACATGCAGGCTCTCAATCTGTCCAGAGCCTGGGGGTAATAATACAAGGCTTTTGCATGCAAATATATCAATTTATTTCTACAATAGAAAACCACTGAAGGCTGGAAGAGAAGCTACCGTGACGCAGATAATTATATTGTCTTTCCTATCAAAACCTTCTGCCCTTCTTCTGATTCAGGAGAGGAAGAATAAGAATGAGACTTTCAAATCTCAAAGCTGCACATGGTTAGAGGCATCAACCTTCACACTTGCACTGACTCGTCTGTTCTTGGCTGATTCCTGCCTTCTCAACACCCACTTGGCTGCAGTTTCCCTGTTTCTGTGGTTCCCCCTGTTTCATTGTAATGTGTCGACCTAAATCACTTTTGCTGGCAGAGCTGGTGCTAGAGGAGGAGTTTTTCCCTTTGAGTTTTAGCAAGGCTTTCATTTCCACCACCTTCACTTTAAAAGGAGATGGTTCAGAATCAGTTGATTTTGGAAGGGGTAGTAGTGCATTGGCTTTAATGCTTTTTACACTGTACCTTGGGCACCTCTTCCTCAGCACATCCACTGTAGGGAAGGAAATATCAGTCACTGAACATTAGCATAGTTCAGAGTTCCCCCCTCAGTATACTGGTTTCAGATAGTGATCTCTCTACTGTTGGACAGGTGTTCATGGAGGAGGGGGTCCTTTAGATAACCTGGTCACAGATTGTTATACAGGCTCTTCATCCACACATAGAACATTTGCCTATTTGGCTCAGTTTTGACTGCACCAACCTTTAGCAACCTGGTGCCTTTCATATGTTTTCCCTTGTTAAAATTCACTTGTATAAGGGGTGGATGGATGCAGCCCTCTTAAGGAGATGGGCTATGTTTTTGTCACAGAGTTGTTGTGAGGATAAAATGGAGAGCCATGTATGGCACCTTGGAAGACAGGGTGGAATGTAATTCATAGAATCATAGAATTGTAGGGTTGGAAGGGACCGTGAGATTCATCTAGTCCAATCACCTGCAATGCAGCGATATGTAGCTAGCCCATACAAGGATGAACCTGCAACCTTGACATTACCAGCACCACACTCTAACTCACTGAGGTATCAACACTTATGCTTAGTGCTCTGTAAAAACAAACAAACATACAAAACACACACACACCGCAAAACACTCACTGAGCTATCTATGTCGAAGTAGGTACTTATTTAAGGCATTTTCACCCTGCTCGGTAGATGAATAAATCCCTGGGATTATTTGTTTAGTTTTTATTTTTATACCCTCTTCATCATGACAGTCACAGGGGAGTGTACAACAAATGAAACACTACAAAATATAATTAAGTCATTAAAAGCCATCCACATAAGATAGCCACATAACTAATACATTGGTTGTGTCATACTTAGAACTGCCTTCATTTATCACATGTCTTCACTCTAAATGCCTGAAGAAAGAGGTGTGCATCCCTTCATCTGTATGGTGTCGATGTGAGCAAGGATCACAACCCAGGAAGCAGCATGAGTTGTACTGAGGGACTACTGTAGCACCCTGCTTGTGGTTAACACTTAGCTGGAATGAAATATTCAATGCAGCAATAGAGAAATTAAAATAATAATTTATTTGTCAGACAAATAAATGAGAGACACAGTGGTATATGGTTACCAAAGCTCTGCTCACTCCAGCCCTGATGGCCAGCACTTATATTTCCTCAGCCCAGCCCCCTTGCTCCTCCTTTGGCTGCCTCTGTCCAATCAGCCTGGTTGAAATTCCTATTGGCTGTTTGCTAATTACCCTATTGCCCCTTCACTCCAAAACAGATGGCTAAAACAGATGGCTCATGGTATTAAATTTTGTCTAAACAGAGATCTTGGGTTCACCTTCTCACACACCATCAATAAAATAAGAATCTAACATAAGAATCTAACATTTCTTACTTTCTAAATCCTTTGCATAATTACATTAAGCCAATATATTTCATACATAACATAGATAGATTTTTAGAAGGAAAGGAACTTAGTAAAAACAGTTTCAAAAGCAACCTCTTCAATTTATAACTCCCTTTCCTAGCCAGCTGCTGTTCCTATTAGCTCTTGCCCTTTAACCTTACGAAAATATGGCTTGAGTCTAATGGGAGGCACCTGGTATTATTTTCTAATAAACAATAAATTTTACTATTTACCAACTCTTAATTAGTGTTTTTGCAGCTTGATTGTATTCTGTAATTTGTAGGGTCAATGTAACCTTTGCTCCCAGCCTGTATTTCCCTTTTACAACTTTGAGAAACGTGTCTCCTGTTACTACTATAAATCAGGGGGGGTTCCTGTTCAAGGAGATAAACAACTGCCAAAGTACTTAGCCAGCTGCTTTATGCCTGGCATGAGACATACAAACATTTGCAAATATATTTTTTAAGCTCATTTTAAAATGCAGACCTTGATCTGATGCCTCACTACCAGCACTGGGAAACTACTTAAACCTGCAGATAAGATCTTCTAGGTGAAGTTTGATTCTTTTCTACCCACGCTGCCCCACTGCTGCTCCACATAGTTGAGGATTCTTTTAAAAGAATGATCCTCTAAACATACTCACTTGTATTAAAGGTGGATGGATACATCCATATCAATTCTGAATGTTTTCATTCATGAATCTGTTCCACCCCTTTTCCAAATTCATCTGTGGCATTCCTCTCAAATGGAAAAAAGGCAATACACATTCGTCACAAAATATGTATTTAAACATTTTCAAATACACATTCATCACAAAATATGTATTTAAACATATATTGTGTATACGAATTGTTTGTAGATAAGTTTTCTTACAGAAAACAGAACAACTAACAACGGATACTCTTCCAGCAGCACCCTACTCACCACCTACCCAAACATAAACCTATCCCTGCTTTAAAATGTAATTTTATCTCAAGTTACACATATCAAAATGTTTCTTTAATCCTAAAATGCATTTTGAAGAATTTTTTACACTTGTTGGAGCAAAGAATTATTTTGCAGAATTTGATGAAAGACAAAACACCAAGGATTGTTCTATTCTAATATATGCATTGGTCCAGGAGGTATGAATTAGAGCTTGTAAAATGCAGACTGAATGAAATTATCCATTTCTGGCTTGGAAAAAAAAATTGCTCCTCTATCAATGAATTCATAAGCAGAAGCTAATTTTAACTTAGTAATGACCAACTTATGCTAATACTATGTAAATGCAGCAGGACACTCTCCTCTTAGGAAGAGGCAATCAGTCTCAAGTATCTCAAGGGTTGTGTGTCCCTGGTCTCAAAGACTTTTAAGGCATTAAGGAGTAACATTTATTCAACTCCCTTTGGACTGTTTCTATCTGTCTCACTGTGCCTTTTGCTTATGGGTGAAAATATCATAGACTCATAGGTTGGAAGGGACCTTGAGGGTCATTCCCTGCAATGTAGGAATCTAAACATGCAGTCCCCCATCCAATCTGAAACCATACTGTGTTAGGATTCATTCCCCGTGTTGCAGTCATGGGATTGATTTTATCTCATGACTGTGTATGTTTTCATTTCACATTGTGGGAAATGACGGAGACAGGATGTTTGTATTACTGTGTTTCTGTGATGTAGGATTTTTGTCCTTTGCTTTTTTTCTTTGCTGTCTGATGCTGAAGAGAAAAGAGCTGAGTTACGATGCTCTGAGTGTGTATATGTAAATAAATGTAGTATAGCCGAATGCTGCACTACTGAGTCTGTACACTGACTGCCTATACTCTGCTGATCCTGAAGTGTACCGATGCTGTGGTGTTCAGGCTGGAGAAAGATTTTGAATCTCCCGAATGATCAACCAGGAGGGGGAAAACATGCCAGTTTGGCATGTGTCTCTGCCGGACTCCTACTTGTGTGTAGGACCTCCTGACATACTGGACCCTGCTTCAGCTTTGTAAATGTGCTAACGGTTGTATTGCTGCACCACTACATGAAGGGAAAGCCAGTTTATGCTCTGCAACAAGGGCAATGGACAAAACTCTGCATTCGTTTAGATTTCATGCCTTTTTCTTAGAAGCCTCTTGATGGAAAAGCAAGAAAGTGGCATCCAGCTCAGAACCTTTAGGCATAACTCATGAAATAAAATGTTGCATTTCTTGAAATGTTTAAAGGTCATAGGCACACATTATATCTATATATAATAGCTGGCTTCCATTTATTCCATATCACACTGAACCTTCCAGCACACCATGCTTCCTTTGAGCTTTAGGGTACCTTACACACATCAGAAGACCCAACAGATAGGGAGCAATGCCTTCAACCAAAGCACAGTCATTGCAGACCCACAGACAGGGTCTCAGGGTCTTGATACATCTGGCTAACCTCTCTGGAAGGAAGCTAGTCATGGAAGCACAGGCTCTTAGATACAAGTTAGCCTTGCGTCCTTTGGCTATGCAGAATCTTCAGGCTAAATTTGGCCCATCAAAGTGTTGGGGGTTTTGCTAATACCATAGATACGCTGATTCACCTAGGAGCACAGGAAGTTGCTTTTCTACTGAGTAACTTCATCGGTCCACAAATCTAAGTATTTTCTACAATGACTGGAGGAGGCTCATCAGAGTTTCAGGCAGGAGTCTTTTTCTAACTGTACCTGAAGATGTTGGGGATTGAAGTCAAACGCTCTGCCACTGTTCCCATTTCTCCTCTTGCATAAGAAATTTCTAGTTTTTTAAAAAAAACACCATGCAAATAGGGCTTAAGGCTCTAATACGTCCCTTAATTACATTGGTGAAACAAGCAGATTGTCAAAGAGAAGAAATCCCACGCAATTGTGTCCAAAATCCCTTGCTGGCTTTCTACCTATGGAACCAGCTTTTCCTTCTCTTGGTATTAGAAACCATCTAATTCAATTTGTTTAAAAGACACCACTTTAGTTACTTCTAGCATGTATTAATTTTGCCATTAAGCCTTAATCCTTCTTTAACTACATTTAGTGCAACATTTCATTAATCCATTAGCATGCTCCAAACCCAATTTCTCTTGCAACACACTGAGCCCGCTCTCCCTTGCATATCCCAAATTCCTGCGGTGTGGTTGCCTCCCTGTGTTTGTAAAGGAGCCAAGAGGCCAGCATGTTTGATTGCACACTTTACATTCAAACACAAACAAACTCCCCCTGAGTCCCTTCGAAGGTCCTCTCCATGTGGAGCACTCCTTCTGTTGAAGTCTGCCTTGGAGATGGAATTATTCCAAATTCATCTTTAAAAACAAAAAACCAAAAACAACATGCACACAAAAACAACAAAAAAACGACAGCAGCTAGGTCATTTTAGCAGGGGGAAAAATTGGTTCTGCTCCGCTTAATTACTTGAAATCGAGAACCATGTGCTTCCTGCCACAATTAATTAGTCTGCTGGCTGTTTCCATAGCTTGAATTCTAATTATGTGGAGTGACATTCCTGCCATGAAACATTAGTATCCAAACTAAGAGATCGGCTCATATTGTCATGGCCCCTGACTGCTGAAACAGCTGGGGCAGATTGCAAAAATGGAGGCAGAGAAGCCCTCCTGCTCTGAATTTCTTAGAATGTATTGACACTGGTGCCTTAGTATTCACCGATGACTTTTTCATGTGCATTTCACTTAACAGCATCTTCATCAAGGCATGCATAATTTGCAATCCACCCTATGCAACACAGCCCACCAGCCCCTATGACAGCTTTCCAGAGGCCCAATAAATCCCTGCCCCCAGTACTTGCCATGGACTATAAAACAGGAAAAATGTCAAGCACTTGCTATAATGCACCAGTAGTGGGCTTCATTCCCCTCCATGGTTTACAGTTTGATCTACATATTATTCAGTCAAGGGATTGGTACTGACTTATTGTGCTGCAACCTGCCTGAGGCTGGTTAACCTGAAAGTTAGGGATGGTTAGGGATAACCATCCCAGTTAGGGATAACCATCCCAGTTTGGTTATGCTTGTACTCAGTCATAAGTGTGTCCTGTCGTGTTGCAATCTCAGAGCTACAATTCCCAGAGTGTTTTAACAATCAATCCCTCTTCACAGGGAATTCTGGGAAATGTAGTTCTGTGAGGAGAATAGGTGTCTCCTAGGTAAAAGGTAAAGGACCACTGGATGGTTAAGTCCAGACAAAGGCGACTACGGGGTTGTGGCATAGTACACTGGTACCTCGGGTTAAGTACTTAATTCGTTCTGGAGGTCTGTTCTTAACCTGAAACTGTTCTTAATCTGAAGCACCACTTTAGCTAATGGGGCCTCCTGCTGCTGCCGCGCCCCAGAGCACGATTTCTGTTCTCATCCTGAAGCAAAGTTTTTAACCTGAAGCACTATTTCTGGGTTAGCGGAGTCTGTAACCCGAAGCAAATGTAACCTGAAGCGTATGTAACCTGAGGTATCACTGTACCCTTAAAAATGACAGCTCCCAGGATTCTTTGAAGAAAGCCATCACTGTTTAAAGCAGATCGAGCCCGAGATTCAGGACACAAATTCTCAATTGGACTTCTACCCCGGCACCTCTCAGTTTGTAAATCAAGCATGACTGGCTTATGAGGTATGTTTGCCACAGAGACTTCCAGTTGGAAATGTGGTTCAGTAATTTGGTTCTGTTAATTTTTAAATGTGCATCGTCTACGTTTTCCACTTACACAAAGCACGAAGCCCCCGTAGCATTTATGGTTGATTTATATTTACGCACAATAGAGGCAGAACCCATCACTGAGAGCTTAGGAGCAATATTGTGTTTCTAATGTTTCTGCACTGTGATGATCCTGGCAGCCTTCCTTCAAGGAGCTGAGCAACCCTTTGCCAAATGCATCAGGTCTAATATCTAATTCCCAGCTAAAACTAGGTAGCATGGAGCACTGGGTCAACAATGGAAACAGAACAGGAAAGAAATCAAGTTCTCTCATTTTTAGACTGAAAGGTAACGACAGAGAGGATGCGGTGAGATTTTAGTATGTGTGCTCCTTACAAGCCAAGAGCTTTGCATTGTAGCGTGCCAAACATTGTTACATTTTCTGCAACTGTTTTATATAGATCATAGCAGGACCAGAAAAGGTTTTTCAAGTCATCTGCTCTGAGCCTGTATTACATCCCACCTTACCTAACCCGCTGCTGAATGTCGGCAGTAATCTTGTCTCCCTTGGTGGGTATAATCTGCCATACCTTTGCTCTGACTACAAGAACCTCTCTCTAATATCTTGGCTAAACTTCTCCTTCCTTTGCTCTGGGCGATTTCTTCCTGACCTGCCATCTTCCAGGCAGTGCATTAATTCGTTCCTTCATTTGTACTGTTACCTTGAAGATATTGAAGTGTGATCATATTCCCCCTGGGCCCTTGCCTTGCTAGGCCCCCTCAGTCTCTGCTCTTGTGAAGGTTTATTGGTTTTCTGTTATATTTTCACTTCTAATTTTAATTCCTTCATCTCATCTGTACAGAGAGTTATTAAGCAAAGAGGATTTGGTAAGCTGGTCTGTCTCCCAGGACTCGGCTAATACAAGCTCAGCTCCCTATTCTGCCATAGGCTCCCTCCGGGACTTCACCCAAGTCCTCCCATTTCTTTCATTGTCTCTGTTTCTTGCCTACAAAGTGGTGGAACCACTGGGGAATGCTGCACAAATGTTGAAAACCAGAAGGGCCTCTAACTGCAAGTATCTCTATAACCTAGGTGTAATTGCTCCAAGAATGCACTGGGATAAAATAGAATCGGTTTTGGTTTTTTTAACTTATCCATGTGTCTTAATACTGAAATTCCTATACCTACCTACTCGGGAATAAGTCCCAATGAAGTCAGTGACTCTTGCTTCTGAGTAGACACATGCAGGATTCGCTGTAAGATAACTGTGTAGGGATTTATTTATTTTATTTAATTTATTGCATTTTTCCCCCAATCCCACCTTGTTCTCAAATAAGCTCAAGGTGGCATACATGGTTATCATTCTCCACATTTAAACCCCACAGACGAAAGAGAAAACAAAGGAGGACCCAGGATCAATCAGGGAACCTTTTCCCAAAAAAATCCCGCTCATCCCCCAATATAGAGATGACTAACAGAATCCATCCAAACCATGCATAGGAGGGAGGCTGATTGCCACACCAGATACAGAGAGGAAGAAGAGAGCGGTTCTATCAAAGGCTTGCATACAGTCTCGTGTCTGTCTGTCTGCCCCCATGTTGTGACACCAGTGAGTCATCATAATGTGGCCTCCAATCCAGTCTCAAACAGAGGAGTGACAAATTTGTTCTGTGGTGGTGCACAGTTCTTTTCCGTTTTCAATGGGGTGTGTGTGACAATTTTAATGAGGCTTAATGTCCAAGGTTTTTCCATAAAACTTGCTTCATTTCAGGACCATAGAGCAGATCTGTGCTAGAGCACACACATTGTATTAGGGATGGTGTGACAGTTCACCATTGGCTAGCCTGCAGCTGACCAAGGAGTTTGGAGGATCCATCTCCAGACTGAATGCGACCTCACAAACTTCATCTCTTGAGTCTCAAACCCAAGGGCTTTAAATAATAAGCCCCACACCCTCCAGTCACCCCCAGTATAAGTGCTTCCTTCCTTTCCTGCTAGGAGCGGTGGTGGAACCAATGAGAGGCAAAATGGAGTCTCCTTCCATTTCCTCTGACCATCTCTGGGCCTCCATTTTATTGGTTTTGTCCCATCAGCGGTACTAAATTAAGATTCAGCTGCCAATTCAATTGGCTCCATATACAGAGGGGCATCTTGCCCTTTGCTCTAGGTACCAACATGTATTGGGACAGGTCCACCAAGGCTTCATCCCTATTCCCTATTCCTTCCTTAGCAGCAGCTATCCTTCTTGGTAGCAACTGACCTGCCTGTTAAGAGACAGGATCTTAGATCTGCCTGCCTATTATTGTTGTGTATCTGACAGTATCTAAGACAATGGGTTTTTCAGAGAGCTCTATGCTGTTTTCCCATCTTTGGCTCAGATTTGTTGGGACAGCAATGGTAGAAAAATTGGGAGTTACTTGAGAACTCCCTGGATGTCAAGGCTCCTTCTCCCATTGCATTTTCATAAGATGGCAGATGACACAAGCACATTACACTGATGTCTGATGTCTGCAGAGAAGTACAAATGCAACAACTGTACAACCTATAGCTGGTTCCTAGTCGGTCTCACCACTGTAGCAGAAGTGGCCTAAGAGGTCACAAGTCAGGCTGGGAGGCAGTCATGAGCATAATGTTTTCAGACAGGACACTTTCACACTATTGCAGAGAGTTCATGCCCAAGTTACATCTGGGAATAAGCTTACATTTAAAAAATGGGTTGCCACATGTCCTCTTTTTCTAGGACACATCTTCTTTTCATGGCTATGTAAAATGAGAGTCATCATAGCGATCCATAGTTAAAAGAAGAAGTCAGAAAATGTGTGCTCTTTTCTGCTCTTCAGAATAAGGTAAAGGTAAAGGACCCCTGGGTGATTAAGTCCAGTCAACAGTGATTATGGAGCTGCGGCACTCATCTCGCTTTCAGGCTGAGGAGGCCGGCGTTCATCCACAGGCAGCTTTCCAGGTCATGTGGCCAGCAGGACTAAACTGCTTCTGGCCCAACAGGACACTGTGATGAGTGCCAGAGCACACGGAAATGCTGTTTACCCTCCCACTACGGTGGTACCTATTTATCTACTTGCTCTGGCATGCTTTCATACTGCTAGGTTGGCAGGAGCTGAGATGGAGCAACAACCCTAATTAGCAAATATTTCCCCACAATTTCCCATTTTCTTTCCTTGCTAAGGAAAAAAATGAAATTGGGGGGAGGGGTACAAACAGCACAGTTTAGGACAGTGGTTCTCGAGGTGGGTGGTATTGGCCCCTGGGGGGTGGTGAGACTGCCTTGGGGGCATTTAGATGCAAGAGATTGGCAGGGGGGGCTGTAGGCATAGCTGTCAACTTTTCCCTTTTCTTGCAAGGAATCCTATTTTGAATAAGGGAATTTCCCTTAAAAAAAGGGAAACGTTGACACCTATGGATATCTGACTTTGAAATGCAGGTATCATTGGATCAAGTTTGTTGAATTAATTGAACTAAATAGTTTTAGTTGAATCTTGAATAAATGTGCAAGTTTCACTGAGTTTTCTTCATTGAGTTTTCATTTGAGTTTCATTGTGTTATTATCTTCCTTAGTGTGTCATGCAAACCATTACTCTGAACAATCCTTTCATATGGTAGTGGGCACTAAGGATGACTTTATGGAACCAAGAGGGCAGTGGCCCATTGTTTTTTTTTGGGGGGGGGGGAAACCACTGATTTAGGGCATGTGACAGTTAAATTATTATTTTTTGCTTTCAAGCAGAGTAGTGCTGAGACAAAAAATGGCCAGAATTTTAAAAATCAGGATTTTTCTTTGGGGGGAGAGCAACTTCAAAACCAGAGATATTTCAGGGGTGTTTGGTAGAGCAGTATTTTGTGGGGCGCCTTTATCATCCGTTCCTAAGAGGGAAAGTTTCCATTTTGATTCCTGCCCTTCTTGCCTCTGCCAGAAAAGCAAGAATGGTTGAATGGAAATCCCCAGTTCCTCCACACACTGCTAGACAAGTTAAGATGAAAAAGGATGCGCCTGACGGCCTGACATTGCACACAGCTCTATCCAAGACAGCAGCCCCCTTCTGTGTGATACCCAGTGCATACCTGAGTGAGTTTTCTCCAAGATGCAAAGCCAAAGGAACCCCAAAGCAGAAATACAGTGCATGCAGCAGGGAGGAAATTCTCCTGTGTGAACATGGAGGACTCCAGCTGACAGCTAGCTCCAAACCACAGTTGGCATCACAGTATGTCACCCAATCCGTTGCTTTTCAGATAAGCTTTGACATTTAAGAGCCAGGCCTGCTGCCCACAGCTTATACTCTGCCCAAGGCACAATGAGAAACAAACCCAGGGGTGACCTAAAACCATCGGAGCAAAACTCTGCAGGGCTAATTTATTTCAGCTTGGGCTTGAGTGCTCTACTGACACCCTGCAAAAAAAATTAAAAAAAATTGACCGACTTTCAAATAATGAACAGTTTCCATTGCAAATGCCTCTCTCTCTATATATATAATATATAAGGTATAATCTAAGCACATCGTTTCTGGAAAGAAGTGGCCAATGACCATATTTGGGATTGCTTGGATTTAATGCGCCAGCAATGGGAAGGCTAATTCTGGAAGTTTTACATATCCACAGAGATAGTACTAGAAATGGGTGTGTGTGTGTAGGGAGATACAGAATGTTACCCATTCAGAAGCCACACTATTTAAGCTAGGGGTCAACAACCTTTTGGGCCAGTGGACACATTTGGAAATTTGTGGAAGTGCTATAGGCACCAACCACAAAATGGCTGCCTTGGGGGTATCACATTTTTTAAAAAGGTTGACATGGGATTGTAAAAAGGTAAAGGTAAAGGGACCCCTGACCATTAGGTCCAGTCGTGACCGACTCTGGGGTTGCGGTGCTCATCTCGCTTTATTGGCCAAGGGAGCCAGCATACAGCTTTCAGGTCATGTGGCCAGCATGACTAAGCCGCTTCTGGCGAACCAGAGCAGCACACAGAAACGCCATTTACCTTTATCTACTTGCACTTTGACGTGCTTTCGAACTGCTAGGTTGGCAGGAGCAGGGACCCAGCAATGGGAGCTCACCCCATCACGGGGATTCGAACCGCCAACCTTCTGATCGGCAATCCCGCATCCTGACATGGGATTGTGGCATGACAGAAAATGGCCGCCACACCAAAAAGCTGATAAAGAGACAGGACCCCACAATATTCTGGGCATGCCCCTCATCAATTCTCCTGATCAAGGGGGTGGGGAGGCACCAAAATCAACCCCCACTGTGCTTGCTCACAGAGAAGTGCTTTGCACCTCTCCTTTGTTTGAAATAGACTGGAGGGTGTGTGTCCATTTCTGGCACCCAGTGAAATGTGGGCATATTTAAGGGGTGTGAAGGTTAATACAAAGGGAGCAGGACAAACCATGTGGAACACACAGCTTTGTCCCCTAACACCTCACCACCACTCCCTGCTGCTTGCCATCTGACACCTACAGCAGTTGCCTGTCTCCTGCCTAATAGCAGGGCTGGCCCTGTCATGAACAGAAGAATTCAAAGAAGGAAAAATAAGAAAAACCACCCCTAAATCCCAAACTTGCAGCAGCATTATCCAATATGGTAGCCATGACAGTAATGCAGAACATACATACCTTGCAAAAAGGAAGTGTACAAAAGTAGGTGGTGTATAACTTTTTAAATAACA